TTGGTTCGCCGTGCCCTGCGTGCCTTGAACGTGATCACTGGCGGCCAGAACCTCGAGCTAGCCTACCATTTTGTTCACGACTCATCCCGATTGTTGGGGTGATCAGGCGGCCTGTTGAACTTTGTCTTCTACCAGCTCGACTTTGATCTGCTCAACACTGTCGCTCTCGGCGGGCCTTCTCGGGGTGAACTTTGGGATAGGGGCGGGCTCTTTCTTCTACCTGCTCGACATTGACCTTCTCGACATTGTCGCTCTTTGCAGTCTACCTCGGGGTGAACTTGGTGAGTAAAACTTCAAGGTGCCTCGGTGTGCCGTCCTTGTCCTTCCTCACCCGTCTCATCGCGATGGCAGCCACAGAGGGAGACATGCAGGTCGAGGAAGTCCCTGGGGAGGTGTATGTGGGCTCGCCGACAGAGATTGCCGAGGAGTCATCGGACCCAGAGCAAGAGCCCAAGATTGAGAAGAGGAAGCGGGAGGAAGCGATGCAGAAGAAACGACGAGCTCTTCGTGACGGTGGACGAACTGGTGAAGGAGGTGAGGGAGCAGGTGAGGATGACGATGCTGAATTGGATAGTCCGTCAAAACGTGCCTCGGTGGGAAGTGACCAACCGCTCTCCGCGCGGGAACTACGAGAACTCCTTCTCGATCATAGACGTGACATGACGAAGGCTTGGAGAACATTTGAGGACCGCCTGACCAAGCTGGAAAAGCATGAGAAGGACCGCAAGGGAGAACTGGCGTCTCTTTCGGGTCGCACCAAGGTAAATGAGAAGGACATCATGCAGGTGAAGAAGGCGGTCGAGCTCAACAAGAACTCGATCGAAGCCAACGACAAGAGGGTTGATAAGCTCGTTGAAGACGTACAGAACCTCAAGATGCAGATCGATGCAAATCATGGTGGACAAGATCCTGGTGGTGCCAAGGATCCGTGGAGCGACTACCTTCGGCAACAACAACAAGGCCGACCAGCTTGGCCTGCACCGTCGGCTCGCTCTGGACTACCCCCTGGTGGACATCCTTCTGGGAACCATCGTGAAGGTGAACCTCTCAAACCTGCCGGCCCTGAACAAGGAGATGTTCTCTCTGAGGAAGACCGCAGAACTTTGATCGTCGGAGGGTGGAGCCAAGACACCCGCCGTCAAGTTATCGAGGCTGAAGCTCGTGCCTTTCTTGATCACCCTGAGATTAAACCTCTCCTTGATGTGGACAAGATCTCGGTGTACGGCCCCAGACGCAGCGTTGGAACCATCAAGTTCGTGATCCGTGATGGGGAGAAATCGCTCGAAGATGTTAAGGGCCGTATGTGGCAAGTCATTCGGAATGCTGCGAAACTTAAGATGGCAGTCGCCAGTGCCCAGACCAACGGCGAGGACCGAACGATTTGGGCTTCCTTTGTCAAGACTAGGACTGCCCGGACAAGATCGGCACATATTAGTATGGTGCGACGAGTGACAATTGAGCTGGTGGGAGGAAGTAAAGATGAAGGCGGGGGAGTTCTCAACGAGGCCCACTTACAACAGGCCTCGTATGACATGGACTGGAACGCCGGCACTATCTGGTGCGGGTTGCACAAACTCGCCTCGTCCACCCATCGCAAGCCCAAGGACGCCGAGACCGTTTTGATGACCGGAGGCTGGGTGAACTTGGATGCCGTCGGTCTCATCGCAGGATGCACAGCGGAGGTGGCGAAGGCCGCCTTTGAACGCGAGCTATGACAGCCTCCTCCCTGTTTCACTCCCGATGATGATATTGGGGAGAATTTGAGCCCTCTTGGTCCACCACACCCTGCTCTTGGGAAGTCGAAGCCTTCTTCTAGGATGAGGGGTGGCTTGTGTGCAAAACACAAATGGGGACGACTCGCCTGCTGGAATCTCGGACGGCAAGAAGTCACCAAGGTGGACATTGCAGGGGGTGATCTCGATGTTGTATGTGTGCAAGAAGTTTCACGGGGTGATGTTCACTGGATGAGCGACAACACAGACCTGTTTCACTGGGTACTACATCGTGCCCCCAGCCAATGGCGAGCGGTTGGAGTTGGGATCGCCAAAGACAAGCTTGATTGCATTGTAGGTAAAGTCGCGACGAACAGAGGGATCTGGGTTCTTGCTAGGTTGCGAGATCTGGGGAGAGTGGTCTTCGGCAGCATGCACTGCCACACTGGTGCAACCAATGCGATCTACCAGTCGGCAGTTCTCCAGTTCATTCACGAATGCCCGTCCAAGTGGAAGCAGTATCCAGCTTGGTGCGGTTTTGACACAAACGAACAGCTTGCTTGGGCGGAAGCTGAAGATAGATCAGGGCGACTCATCAGTGGCAGCACCAACCTCAACGTGCTTGCTGATCAGATCTCAAACCTTGGCTTTCAACCCGTTGCTCCCGTACCGGCCCAATGGACTCACCCGACCCATTATCCTCGGGATCGGCGGCGTAGAGGACGACAAATTGATGCTGCATGGTCACGCTTGTTACGAACCTCCTCAGTCAATCTTGATCCCAACCGTCGTCATGTTATTGGAACCGATCATGCGCTGCTTTATTGTGATGTTTTCTGTCAGGGAAGATCTGTCTCTCGATGGGGTAACGACTCGAGGCCGAGGTACGTCAAGATGGAGCTGCCACCAGCCATCATCATTGATGCGAATGACCTTTCGGATCTTGCTCGCACATGTACGGCCCCAAGACACAGCTCGGCCTACCGCGACCCACCTGAAGTCACTGACCTGATCGCGGAGGCCCGGATGGAAAATGACCCCAAGGCTTGGAAACGTGTTCATCGAGTTCGTCGTCAAGCACGTCGTACTTGGCATCACAAGCGCCTCACCATGATCCTGCATGGCAACTGGCATGAGTATCGTCTCCTCCAGAAAGAGAAGAAGAAGACTGGATGGTGGGGTGGACTTCTTCAGCATGCCTCTTCCAAGGAACTCTCCGCGAAGGTTCAGAATCACCTGGAGTCCAAGCTTGTCAATGAATTTGATCGTGATTGGGATGACCTTCTACAAGAACAAATCAACATGGTTGAGCTCAGGGACGAGTTTGTCCCTTTCTCGCTACTCGATCCGTGAAGCCTTAAATGACATGAAGCCCCACAGTGCGGTAGGACCTGATGGCATTAGTGTACATTTCTTGCGAGTTGCCGCCAGCGATGACGTGATTGCCCCGCAGCCTTTGGAGCTCGTGAATCACATCGTGGTAACGTGCGAGCTCCCGGAGATTTGGCGGGACAATTTCCTGGCACTCCTCGCCAAGGTTGAATCTCCGATGAAACCGGGTGATTTGCGACCTATCTGTGTCAGTTCGGCCTTTCACAAGATGATCAATAAGATGATTTGTGCACGGGCCCTGCCATTACTCCGTTCTGGGTCCCTTATTTCGGGTTGCGGCAAAGGACGGCAAGCAGCAGATGTCATTGGCACCATCAGCCGAATCAGAGATGTCACAGCCGAGTGGCGCTTGCCCACATTGCTCTGCAAGCTCGATATCTCCGGTGCCTTTGACAAACTCGACCGCATCAAAGTCGTCGAGTACTTGAAAACTCGCCTCCGTGGCAAGGACGTCGAGCATGAGTTGCGCTACCTTCTGGCACAACTCCGAACCTACAAGCTCATCGGCCAGGTGCCGGGGGGTGACCTTATCCAGGTTGAACCCAATGTGGGTATCAAACAAGGTGCCCCCGAAAGCGCAGAAGTGTTTGGGCTCGTAATGGATGACATCCTGTCACGTCTCACGTCGCAAAAAGCATGGGGTGAATTTGGTCGTGCCTTCGACGATTGTGAGATCGAGCTTGTCTTTATCAGGACGATATCTTCCTGATTGAGTCTGTGCTCGCACGCCTCGGGAGAAAGATTAAGGTCCTCGAGCGATGCCTTCAGAGGGATGGCCTCCACCTTGCGACAGAGAAAACCAAGATTGTCTCTTCGGCGTTCTATCAGGGTCCCAAGAAGGTCCAAGTTGGAGGGTCGACTTTTGAAATTGCCTCGCCACATGAATCGGTCAAAGTCTTGGGCCTTTCCTTCTCGCTGAGGGAGAAGTCTTCACAACAGGCGAAGGAGCTCCTGGGGCGAACAAGAGAAGCGGCAATGGCCCATCGCGACATTCTTCGAGGGCATGCGAGTTGGGACAAGAAGGTCAATATGATGCGCACCCTGGTCGAGAGTCAATTCTCATGGACGGCAGGAGCAATCCACTGGGCTCAGGAGGACCTACGACAAGCTAACATCTTGCAGGCACACACTATGCGGGCTGCCTTTCGCATTCTTCGTCAAGCCGGTGAACGATGGCACGATTGGAATGCGCGCAGCATGCGAATTTGCCGCGCGTGGCTTGCCAGTACAGGCAGAGACCGTTGGTCCACCACCACCCTTCGCCTTCAGCACACCCTGGCAGGGCACTGGGCGCGTCGTGAAGAGTGGCTTGAGGATCGAAGTGGACCGCACCGGTCCTTACCAATGCGGGCGCTCTCTTGGCGCGATACGGCTTGGTGGCGCCAACAACAAGCACTAAGCTCCCGAACTGGCCATCGCCATCCGCGCTGGGTTCATATCTCGAACCTCGAGCGCCAGCTTGCAGATGCGCATGGGGTGAACTGGTCGCATTTGGCGGTCGACCGCGCCCAATGGGCAATTCACCGATCGGATTTCCTCAACCTTTGGGATGTCAAGTGGTGTATGAGACGCCAATTGGCATTGACTATGTGATTCTCTCCGGCTGTGTATGTCTGCTAAAATGAAGTCACCTCGTGCAAGGGGACTGAGATCTAGCAGCTATGCCACGCTTTGTTTCGCCATGCACATTTGACATCATGCCCTCGATTCTGTCCTTGCGTTGTATCACTTGAGATCGCTTGTTTGCCTTGTACCAGACCGACATGTTCACACATGCATTTGCAGATTTATGTTCTTCCATGCAGCAACTTGCACTCTGACAATGTGGAGCCGTATATGCAGACTTTGAGCTTCGAACCTAGAGCTCCCCCACGTCCTTTCCGTCCTCTCTATACCATGTTGATCCTCGCCTTCGTGACTCTCCTTCGCCTTGGTGATGCTGGACCTTGGGATGATGACACGCAGAATGATTGGAAGCCAGTCTGGGCCTGGGATGAATGGGAGACCACTTGGGGTGAGACGCCCTCATCCTCCTCACAGTGGCCTGGTTGGCATGATTATGCTGCATTACCTGACCCCGCCCTGCAGGAGAACAATGGGGATGAGTCTGGCCTGGTTCCGCCACCACTATCCACCTCAGAGCCGTGCCAACTGAGCGCCTCTATGCCGTTGGTATCACCTTCGACGAACTTGACCAACCACACCAGAATGGATTCAGCTACTACTTCGTCTACGCCGTCGACTTGCACTACGCCTACCTGGCCTACACCAACGCCGCCCTCTACTTCGTCAACAAGTTGGACCTCCTTTTCTACGCCCGCCGCCTCATCCTCATGCCCGATGGCTCAACAGTCCGCCTCATCAAGCACTGGGGTGAACTCTACCGTGGATCCTCTGCCTCCTAATCTCCGTCCCTGGACGAGGGAGGAAGTTATGATGCATATGGCAAAGGCCTGGGATGAGGAACTATGTTGGGGACTACAAGCAGAAGCTGTCGATGCGGTCCTGGAGATGGAGAACGCCTCGATGCCGGTGGAGTTGGCCGTATCGCCAACCCTCGCACCCATCCCGGAGGACCTTCCCCTTCCTTTTGCTATGAATCAACCTGGTATGACACTGTCCGGCTCCAGTGGCCAGACATGGTGGGACCAGGTACGGGATCGTCGTAATCTTCGCGGACACGAAGGCTTTCAGCTCCGTCGTGAACCAGTTGATCGGGATCAGCATGCTGTGGACCACCAAGAACCTGCCCCTCTTGGAGCCTCCTGCTCGACCCAGTCGCCGGTACAAGCCCACGGCGCAGCTTCTGGGACTGAGGTTAACAATAATGGTATGAACCTGAGCACGGACGACCACGAAACTTCGTCCTCGTCGTCGTCTGTGGTGGGTGTGACACAGCGCTGGGGTGTCCAACGACCTGGTGTGGACCGCTGGCACTACCCTAACGGGAGCACACACAGCCGACTACGTGAGAGACTTTCGGCTTCTTCTGGTGAAGCAGCACAGCCCCAAACTCCATTCCACATTGAAGGAATTGTCCAACATCCAGAGGGCCCCTCTCTCAAAGCCCGCACCTTCTATGGGGAGGACTTTGAAGTGTGGGCATCGGCAGCTGCGATATCCCAAGATGACACCAGTACCACAGCTGGAGATGGAAGCTTGGGTGATTCTGAAGAGGGATGGGCCTCTTCCTCTGGGTAGGCAAGTTCTAGCGATGTCGGCTTCTTTCGTCACGGTGTATGGCAGGCCCGCAGCCGTACCCCCAGTGAACTACGTGCTCATCAGGGTGGCGGAGGTGCAGTTCGTGCTCAGCGCAAAGCTGCGCGCATGGCCGAATACCTGGCAGGCAACTGGAAACCCGCATGGCTCAGGCAATACGCTCGCGACAGAGAAGCACGTCATGCAGCACAAGCAGGTGGCTCGCCCTCCCTACCTTCGCCTTCCAACAATGATGATGAAGATCGGGGTGTCTGCAATCCAGAGACGTCAGCAGCTGGTGACTCAGAGGCCGTGGTCATGACCACAAACGATGGGGTAGCTGAAAACTGGAGCTGGACTGGATGGTGGGACTATGATGCCAATCCAGGCTCCTGGAGTTGGAATGTCGATGAGGGATGGTGGTGGTCTTGGGACTCATCCTCTTCCTCGACTACAACCACTATTAATGGCACTGAGTGGGAGAATTTGAAGGAGCCGTATCTTCTTGTACGTCCACAAGGGGTGACTTTGTCGTGGAGTACCTCGTCGTCACTTTGGACCGATGTGTTATACTTAGTGTCGTCAATGTCTATGTTCTCCTCGACCACGACCACCACGACTCAAAACGAGGTTGATGCTCCGCCGACACTGCCTCCCAATGCAGGCCTGTTCCCAGACGTGTTCCCTATCGACCCAGAGACACATGGGAGGATGAGCATCACGAATGGGGAAGTGGCCACACTTCAGGAATATGGGGTGTCGCAGAGTCACATCCGCCGGGTGTCTGACCTACTCGATGCTCTCGATCGCCAGGAAAGAATGGGTGTTGGACCGGAGAGCCGCTGGGCGTTTGAACGCCTTGTCCAGCGTGCAGAGGAAGGAGCAGACGCGCAACAGGCCATCCTTCAGGTACTTCGTCGTCGTCTCCTTCCCCGAGGTCTACTTCCACTTACCAGGGTGCCACGAACGGAACAATTGCGTTGGAACATGTTCTCGTGGGTTCGACAATTTATTCCTCTTTTCTTGGATAACATGGAGCACCATCTTCGCACCCCTCTTCAACCTCAAGAAGGAGAGAGGAGTTCATCCAGTACAGGGGGAAGTCCATCACGCAATCGCAGTCGATCACCACCTGGTTCGGTGGCGAGAGCCTCAGAGAGTGACAGGGGTGACATGGAAAACTCGGATGGTGGCCACAATGGGACGCACTTTGACACGTCGAGCCCACCGGCCCAAGTTGCTCCGCAAGATCTTCAGGGAATCTGGCGAGAACCGTCGGATGATGCGACCCAACCAGATCCTCAAGCCTCTGGTTCAAGTGGTGGCTCCCCGTTGTGCTCGACTACCTCCACTACGTCCACTACTACATGGGACTTACCGCTCCACGAAGACCAATGGGAGTATCACGACACGGAACTGGAGGACGTCTTTTCCCTCTTGCAGACAACCTCAGCAGGTGGTGGTAACGTGGCCCTGCAGAGATGCCCGACGACACTGTGGAGGACAAGCTCTCCGTCGTGCTCTTCATGTACATCCACGTGGACAACAACCCAGCCTCAGGTGGAGATCTCCTCGATACTCCAATCCAGTTGGATCGTGCACAGCACAACAACATCCACGACTGTGCTCACTGCCGAGGATGCAGTCCGGGATGCAGTGAATCACCAACTTGTTATCTCGGCAGAGGCTGATGTCACTGAACTACTACGCCGCCTACTGGTTCATCAGCGACACCTACTACGTCTTCTTCGTCTTACTCAAGTTGCTCTCGATGAAGCTCTACGTTGGGTGCACGTCCCGGCGGAGGCTTTGCCTCTCAATGCGAACATTCATGAGCGCAGTGTCTGGGAGGCAATCGTGCGAGAGTCCACTAGGAACTCCCCTTCTTCCTCAACGGCGGCCTCTACCTGGGTGAATGCGCCTGTGGTGCTCCTGCAACCGGGACTACCTGCCTCTTTGCCTGCGGCAGAACAGGCGCTTCCTGGAGTCTCTGAACATGCCTGGGCGGGCTTCCGTAGACGAGCCTGGCGTAACCACATGGACTACCTCTTCCAAAGTGGTGGTCGGGACACACCTGTGGGGTCATGGCCAAGCCCGGAAGATGACCATCTCTACCTGCTCCAAACGGAACCGTCGGTGGATGTGCCCAATTGGCCGCGTGGGGTGCCGAGACCTATGTCTGCACGCGAACATGCACGTGGAAACCAACGTCGACGACAACATCGACCTCGCCCTGACCCGCAGTTGGTTCCGGTTGGTGTGGATCTTGCCTTGGAAGGTGCGGTTCCCGCGCGTGCCCTTCATCGGTCAACTGCTAGAGTGGAGACTGAAGTCAGCAGCAGTGTGGTCCCTCAACGTGAAGATCTTCGCCGTCGTCGTCGAGCTCGACCTGTTCCTTCAGCCGCTGCCGAACGTTCTGGACTTCTACGTCGTTCTGGACGCCGTCGTCGAGTTGGAAGTGTTCAAGGTGCTCGAGGCCCCCTGGGACGTGTTCCGCCGTCTGGAGTGGTTCAGCCTGGTCTTCGCCGTCGGGCCGAACGGGGTCTTGGTCCTCGTCGTGGTGAGCGTGGTACGGAGCGTAGTCGAAGTCGTGATGGACATGGAACCTGAGCGTAGACAAGACGTGGCAGTGATGGACGTGAGAAGCAAGTGAGTGCAGCCTTTCTTTTGTTGCAGTGTAAGCCTCCTTGAGGCAGGCCCTGAGACCTGCAGCCATGCGGAGAAAGAGCCAGTGCACTTTAAAAAAAAAAAACCTTAAATGAGAGCATGGTTTTTGTATATAGGAGGAGCGCAAGGAACCCAAAGGTTTAGGGTTTGGGATCTTGACTCGCGGCCTTCAATCCTAAGCCTGTAGCCTAGAACTCGCGGAGGAGAAACAGAGGAAGTTCCTAGAGACTGTGGAGTTGCAGATCGGCCTGAAGGCGAGGGTTGCGGGCGGGCGTAGGTGTTCTGAGGGGCTTTCGGGTTCGGGGTCTTAGAGTGTTCGGTTCGTTTGAATAGGATTTCGGGTTTGTCGGTTGCACTTTTCGGGTTTGCTTGTAGGGTCTAGAAGGGTTTCAGGATGCAGGCTTCGGGGTTTGGCTTGTGGCTCAGGGTGCTGGAGACTGAAGAGTAACAGTGGAAATATCATAGGAGAACAATCATAGGGATTCACCTCGAGACTTACCTCTACGTCGTCCACGGGTGTTCACAGCCTCCGCACTTGATGTTTTGAATGAGGTCTGATGTTGCCAGCTCAGGTTCAGCTTTTGGAGTTGAGGGTCTATCTTAACTGTTTTTGGGCTGAAAGCCCTCCATCGTTACATCGTTTGCTTGTGCCGCGAGCGCTCGCAGCTTTATTCGGCAGCGCAGCGGAAGCATTGCGCCTGAACCCTCAACCCTAGACCAAACCCCGAGCTTTGAATTGCCAAAACGAAAGCCTGAGGCGCCACACCCTACAAACTGCATGGCGCCGAGTCCTAAACCCCGCGACCTGGATTCAAGCCCCACTCTCGCACGTGCGGCCTCCCTAGTAAAATCTGCCCATCTAGTCGTGAGTTACTTGTAGTTTTGGGGTTTGGGGGTTTTGGGTTTGGGGTCGGACTTGTAGTTTCAGGGGTCATAACGTCATAGGGCTTTAAGGCTGAGGTTTGGGGTTGTAGTGTAGCTGTCGTTCTTAGAGTCGGTCTGGGTGCTCCTTAGAGTCTAGTATACCGCACAAAGCACCTTCACGCGCATGACTGCCAGCATTGGGTACTCTTTTGGGGGTTTACTGCGCTTTTGGCAGTAGACCCTTGCAGGGTTTCAGGCCTTAGCGGATAAGCGTTTAGGGCTCGAGGGTCAGGGCAAGCGCCTTTAGGGTTTCGGGATTGACGTTGGTGTCTGGCTGCTGGCTCAACAGGATGTGGTCATGATGTGGTCTCTTGCAGGGGGAGTCGGGAATGTTAACCTGCATCAGACGATGATGTAAGAATACAAGAGAGAGTCCCCGCCATGTAGTGAAGTGCGTAGGGTTTCATTCAGATCTCGGCTTGTAGCTTGTTGCTACGTCGAAAGGTAAGATTGGGTTTGAACTCTTCAGTCCAGACGTCGCCCGATATCTGGGGGCAGTGCCGACCAAAGGCTTGACACTGTTGTCGACTTGTCACTGTTGTCACTACTAGACCCTACAGCCTAGATTCCTAGATCCTTGCATAGCAACTCTTGCCTTCACTGCCATTGTTTCCTACGCGCCAGGACTACGACACCCAGAGAGACAAGCGATTTGCTGCGGCCTCACTTTTGGGGCCCCAGGGCTTCAACGTTTATGGCTCGATGCTTTCTTGGGGCCTACTGGGGGCTTCAGAGTTAAGGGTTGCGGGGATGAAGGATGGTTCGAACCCGAGAGCCGACCCCCGTACCTCCCAACTTTAAAGTCTAAGAGGGAACAAGGCTGGCTTTGTTCCAATTCTTGCTTTGGGGCTGAGAAGTGCAGGGTTTTGTGCTCGGGGCTTTGGGGTTTGGGGGTTCAGGCCCTTTAAGTGGTTGGCGTGTGGAGGTTTTGTGGTTGAGAGTACACAGTTTGGGCCTAGGAGTACAGGTGATTAGGGTGGCATCGGCATGTTTCTGCACGGTTTTTCCTCATGCTGCGGCATGTCACGTACACGGTTGTGCGAGCCTTACACTTTCCTAATCCCACCCCCCAACACCCACAAACAGAGGCTTTGGTCTAGGCAGCAAGTCCTCCGATTGTTATTCTGTTTGAGGTTATCATGTCGATAGTAGCCTCGAATACGGATTAAGGACCCTGCAAAGGGACCATACCTTGCAGCGATTCTTAACTGAGGCAGGCACCATCAAGCTTCCCCACGTCCCCCGACCTCGCTTGAAGGCTCGGGGGGGCATCTGGATTACAGAGGGGTTTGTGGTGCAGGACTTGAGAATTGAGTTCTACCGTTTTCATCGGGGCTTCGAGTGACTTGTAAAGTAGGCAGGATAATATTGGGCTTTCATGGCTTTGGTTTCGTGTCTCTACAGCAGCGGTCAGGCATCGTGGCAGCAGCCGCGTGGAATTCCGCAAGTACCCTTGCCAAGCCACGAGAAGCAAAGCTTCTTGAACTCCAAGCTTCTGCAGGTCTGCGTGTTGGGTGATGCCGTTCACTGCGAGCAGGCCTCTCGCAATGGTGGTTTCAAGAAGAGGGTTTTTGTAAGATTTTGTAAAGCCGTTCACGAGTCGAACCTGACAAGCAACATTGACATACCAGCTTCTCTAAGATCCGTCCATGGACAAATTAAAGTGAATGGTGACGATTTGTTTAATTCATCGTTGCATACGCTTGAGGGTGCCGGGCAGGCGCAGCGCGCGAACATTCCCTTCAAGAGCGTCGAGGAGAGCTTTTCTGATGACGGTGGATGAGGGTGGTGTTGCAAGCCTTGCCAGCCCAGTCGCTATTCTTCGACAGGGTGATCGTGATTACGTAGGAGAAGGTGGTAGTGCCAACACAATAACGCAATGGTAGGTAAATTTTGCAACCAAAATGTCATGTGTAGTCAGTTCTATTACGAGTGATAGCTGCGATGCTCGTGTAAATAAGATTACAGTTACAACGACTTTGGTAGTTCACCAGGGGGGCGCATCTAGTTGTAGCAGCTAGAACCGGAGGTAAGGTGACATGGACTGGGTGGTTGAGGGCGTGGGGCCCAACACGGCTACGAATCCTAAGCCTTTACAGCGCTAGAAGGTCAGCGGCCCCGGTCTGTCGCGATCGGCTGGCAGTTCATAAGTTGAAGTATTGTCTGCTCTTGGCCGACCCGAATCCCGTAAGACCAGCGAAGTCTATCCTGAAGCCGCTTGCCGCAGACGGTGAAAAGGCTTTCGGGCTCCGGCGAAGGGCCTCTGCAAGCTGAGCAAGAAGCATCGACAAGCCCTCCCAGCTCCCAGGCCTGAAACCCGAAACCGAGCAAAAGTCCCATCCACGAAAGCTCGGAGGATTTGAAGAAGCTGAACAAGAACAAGAAGATGGTGAAGAAGCTGGCTGACTCCTTCGATGCCTTCCTGGCCTCACAGGTAGGGAGTCCCTGGTGTTGTAAGGTCTGGGAGGGGAAAAGAAGTGTGATCCAGGACAAAAAATAGAGTACGGGGTTTGGGTGTGTCTGGTCCGTTAGCACGCTTGGGCAAATATTGTGTCTTACGGGGGATCTCACGACATAGGTTTCATGTCATCATGAGCCAGTCAACATGCACCGAAGCCAAGAACGACTCTACGGCTGAAGGCTGAAGGCTCTCGGGCTCGAAAGAAGACCGGAAGAATAAAGTCCCTGAGCTCTAGTCCCCGAGGCCTGAACCCGCAGACGCCCAAACTCAAATTCACAGCGGGCCTTAAACCCTTAGACCCTGGATCGACAGACGCGCGTATTGCTGCATATTAAAGCCGTGTTCCCCCTGAAAGTAGGCCTTCAAGTCGGATCTGCGACGGGAAACCCAACCAGGGCTTTCACGGGTTGTTTCTTCGAGGGGTGCCCGGTGTTTGCTACAGGCCTCGACGGTTAAGGTTGTCAGGTTTTCGGAGAGGCTCCATCTTTCTTGCCTACCCCCTACCCAGAACATAACGAGGCTAGCTCTAGCTGCAGAGGGTCCCAAATGAAATGTTGCCCCCCCGGGCTGAACTTCCACAGGCTTCCATTATCAGGCCAAGGCACGACACTGCAACATGCTGACACACACACACACACGCATACGCACATTTCGCGACGAAAAGTTTTACTTTCAACCCTCATGCCTGAACCCGATTGCCCTGGTTCCTGACCGCAATTCTAAACCGGATGTTCAAGCCATGCCATCGAAAGCCCCGAGCACCCCGGAACACATCCACGAAGCGGTCATAGTTTCAGTAGCAGGAACGATTTTAGTGCTCATGAGTGAAACCAGCCAAGATGTACATTTTTCATCATCATCGTGGTCATCATCACTACCGTCAGTATCATCATCTTATCACGATGGTGACTATACTCATCCTTGTGATCGCAATTTTCACCACTTGTCGTAAACATCGTCGTCTTCATCAGCATGTCAGCGTCGTCGTCTTCGTCTTAATAGCGGCTACTAGTATCGCGGCCATCCTCCTCATGGTCGTCGTCATCATCACGGTTAGCATCAGAAGCCAAACCGTGATCACCTAGCATCATCAGCGAGGACGATTAACTAGACAACGAATGAGAGGTCCTCATTCCGCAGATCCCTCGATTGTTGGGCCCCGGCTTGAACAAGGCAAAAGCTTGCAGGGCATCCATACAGACTGGATGCTTGCTTAAATGTCGGTGCGGAGTTATATATCCTAGACTTTCAGATGTTGCTTGTGCCAGTTTCTGCAAAGCACTACCCCCGTATTGCTTCCCACGCTAACAACGTCCAGTGTTCAGTGTTTTGGGTATAGGTTGGATTGTTTCGTTGGGACACTACGGGTGCTGTCGGAGCCTTCAATGGGGCTGTGATGAAGCTTTCTATGCTGGGATTAAGGGCTTCTCCTACTACCTTGTGAACTCTTATCGAGTCGTAACGGGCGCTAGTCGGATCCCTGGTGTGCAATAAGTCCCATGTTGGGTCAAGCTCGCATGAAGTTGGTCTCGCGCTAGCATCGCGAGGCTGACGGATTAACGATCGAAGTCTCATGTCTGCGGAGGTGATCCTTCTTTCTGCTAGAGCGCTCTTGCTTTGTTTACGCACCTTTATGTGACATCGGACCGTCCTTTTCTAGGGGTAATTGGGGCTTTCCAGATGTTCTGGAGACGCTCATGCAGCCGCCATCCTTTCCGTGGCTCCAGAATACATACAGTTGTATCTAATGCTAAACCCCAAAGCTCTGAACTCGTCTGTCAAAACATTGCCGGTACCCCTTCAGTCCTGATTAGCGGGCTGTTGCCTTCCACACAAAGTCTTACACCACAAACTCACCAGACACCCCCCAGACCCGAGAAGACTACACAGCCTACAACCACAACTTATGCTTTGTTGCATTTTCAAACCCACAGCTTTGTGAGCCGTTGAACCTGAATATCTGCAACTTCCAAGATCGCTCCTCGAAGCCCACTCCCGGAGATATACCGTGTGCAACACACCCGCCAGACCATGCACTAATCACTCTTCACGCCTCGATTTTCTGACGGGCACTCTGAGTCTGAGAATCCTTCTTGGATCCTGGACCCTTAAAGATCGAGCGCCAGAACCTGAACCTTTCTGCCAGCCTGGCGCCAGGCCGGGAAGTTCCCCACTCTGGTGCAGCACTCCGACAACCTGGAGACGAAGGCGGAATGCTGTTCCCTTTCCAGGGGCTTGGAGTGGTGGCGAATCTCCGCCTGGGGGTGCTCGAGCCTGGGTTCTCTGGCCTTTGCTGTTTCGGGCTTAATGCTGGTCTCGTCCTCAGAACGGCTTACACAAGCGGCATTTTTGTGGAGAGTAGGATACAGCAAACTGCACCGCATAGGTACTACCTGTCTTCAAGTTCTGGCTTGATCGTTCTGGATGGTGTTATGGGTTCTGAAGCTACGGGCTTGGCAGTTTCCTTGAACGATGTGACGAAATCTTTCCTAGGACTGGGTCGAGGGTTTAGGGTTTGGGAACCTTGTAAGTACTTGCACTACTGCGGGTTTAGGGAAATCCCAAGAGCCCTGCATACAGCCCGTCAAGGCAGACATCGGCTTGCTTTGTGAATGCTTGGCCCTGAACTCCAAGCTCTGACCTTGTTGTCACTGAAACCCAGAACTCTAAATCTCAAGCTTCGATTTCCGTGCCGTAAACCCTGGAAGTTCCAGCCCCAAGACCCTGAAACCTAAGCCCCCCAATCGCTAAGCCTCAGAGACCAGCCCCAAACCCTCGTGAGCAAGATCCCTGAACCCCAAAACGATTATCTTACCCTGTCAAGGCTTCCGACCTGCTCTCGAACTAAGCCTCTTTCCGAAGGCTCCCTACAGCCTGAAAGTCTGGACCCAAAGTCCCTCGACTCCCAGAGGCCCGTAAGAGCCCGTACGAACCCAAGCATCACCCGAAGAGCCTCATGCATTAGATTTACTGCCCGGAATGATGGAAAGTACAGTTCCTGACTGTTTCTCAAGATTTTATAGTTTAACATACCCCAACACTTAGTTCTAGTTGTTAAGGCGCCTTATGATGAGTATACTATGATGTACAACCCGCGGAATGAATCTCTTCGAGTTATTAAGGCCCCAAATGTATGTATGTACGTATGCATCTATGTATTTATAAACGTATGTATGTATGTATGTCCACGACCCACACAACTCACACAACCCGCACGTACACGTACGTGTACCCATGCGCATACGCATGCACATACGCATACACATACACCTGCGCATGCACATGGACATGCACAAGTACATATACATATGCACATACAACTGCTTGTACACATGCACATGCACATGCACAAAGACATCTACACATACACACACACATACACACATACACACATACACACATACACACATACACACACATACACATACACATGCACGTACAAATACAGTGTCACATACACATACACACATACTCACACGCACACATACATACACACATACATACCTACCTACCTTCCTACCTACCTACCGACAGACACACAGACACACAGACACACAGACACACAGACACACGGACACACGGACACACAGGGACACAGAGACACAGAGACACAGAGACACAGAGAGACAGAGAAACACAGAGACACAGAGACACTGCAGAGACACCGCAGAGACACACAGAGACACACAGAGACACACAGAGACACACAGAGACACACAAAGACACACAGAGACACACAGAGACACACAGAGACACACAGAGACACACAGAGACACACGAGACAGAGACACAGAGATACAGAGACACACAGAGACACACAGAGACACACAGAGACACACAGAGACACACAGAGACACACAGAGACACACAGAGACACACAGAGACACACAGAGACACACGAGACAGAGACACAGAGACACAGAGACACAGAGACACAGAGACACAGAGACACAGAGACACAGAGACACAGAGACACAGAGACACAGAGACACAGAGACACAGAGACACAGAGACACAGAGACACAGAGACACAGAGACACGAGACACAGACACAGGACACAGACACAGGACACACAGACACACAGACACACACACAGACACACAGACACACAGACACACAGACACACAGACACACAGACAGACACACAGACAGACACACAGACAGACACACAGACACACAGACACACAGACACACAGACAGACACACAGACAGACACACACAGACACACACACAGACAGATAGACAGACAGACAGACACACAGACACACAGACAGACAGATAGACAGACAGACAGACACACAGACACACAGACACACACAGACACACAGACACACAGACACACAGACACACAGACACACAGACACACAGACACACAGACACACAGACACACAGACACACAGACACACAGACACACAGACACACAGACACACAGACACACAGACACACAGACACACAGACACACAGACACACAGACACACAGACACACAGACACACAGACACACAGACACACAGACACACAGACACACAGACACACAGACACACAGACACACAGACACACACACACACACACACACAAACAACTGACGCCAGGTGACGGAGGTCAGAAGCCAGGTGAAGTTCCAGCTGAAGAAGGCTTTTGGGCTTTCGGGGTTTCGGCTTTTGGGGCAAGATGTTTTGTTCTTTCTAGGGGTTGGGCTTTGGCGCTCAGGATTTGGGGGCGTTATTGGGGTTCGGAGGCGAGGCCCTTGACGGTTGACTGCATGTTGTTACATTGCTTATGTTGTTTGAAGATTCGCTCGGTCTTCTCATAACCTCCGTCAGTATCCACCTTGTCACCGTGGACAAAGGGCTTGGCAAAACCCTCCACAACACACACCGCAAAATGCCAACTTGAAGTCCGCGTACTGATCCTAAACCCTGAAACCTAACTCATGCTTCAGGGCTGTAGCACTTGAGGGCTATCGGCAAATAGAGGACAGGTCGAGACTGTGGCAGTTTGGGGCTCGTTTCATGTGCAAAGATTGGACCTCTTCGGCTTTGGACCTCCTTGCAAGGGATGTCCGTGTAGTGTTGAGTCGACTCAGATCCAAAACGTGTGGTGTGCTTGCTTCACCCAAGCAGTTGCAGCACCGGGCATATCACCGACCTCCACAATCCTGCAAGATTTGCGGGCAGGGCCAACGACTTTAGCAAACCTGCTTGAATGCTTCGTGTGCTTTGCGTTGTCGCAACTGAAGCTGAATCAGAGTAGCCGTCAGCTTTGTAGTGGTCTAGATCTACGAGAAAATAGCAATGCCGAGCTTTGCAGCTTGTGTCAGGTTTTGTGCATGGGCGTTGCAGTCGGCAACGTCGCCATGACCCCCGACGAGCTCAGGCGAGACACGGTCTACTTGGAAATGCTGCATGCTGTGCTGTGTGAACCGCGTATGTAAGTGGAGATTGTCACTAGGTTTTGGGGGCTGCGGCTGCAGGCAGAACTGCTTGATGGCGATCAACTTCTTGGTCTCCCTGCTCAAGAAGAACTGGAACAACGTGAAGCCAGGGACCTAAAAGTGCGATGTTTTGGTGGTTTGGGATGCGGGGCTTGGAGTTCGAATCGTTCCTAGCCGGATGTCATATCGCCAATAATTGTAATCATTCTTGCTGCTCTCCTCCTGCTGCTGCTGCTGCTGCTGCTTCCTACCGCCACTGCCTCTGCGACTGCGACTTGTCCCACCCCACCAACCACCAACCACCACCACCACACCACCACCACACCACCACACCACCACACCACCACACCACCACACCACCACACCACCACACCACCACACCACCACACCACCACACCACCACACCACCACACCACCACACCACCACACCACCACACCACCACACCACCGCACCACCACACCACCACACCACCACACCACCACACCACCACACCACCACACCACCACACACCACCACCACCACCACACACCACCACCACCACCACACACCACCACCACCACCACACACCACCACCACCACCACACACCACACACCACACCACCACACCACCACACCACCACACCACCACACCACCACACCACCACACCACCACACCACCACACCACCACACCACCACACCACCACACCACCACACCACCACACCACCACACCACCACACCACCACACCACCACACCACCACACCACCACACCACACCACCACACCACCACACCACCACACCACCACACCACCACACCACCACACCACCACACCACCACACCACCACACCACCACACCACCACACCACCACACCACCACACCACCACACCACCACACCACCACACCACCACACCACCACACCACCAGACCACCACACCACCACACCACCACACCACCACACCACCACACCACCACACCACCACACCACCACACCACCACACCACCACACCACCACACCACCACACCACCACACCACCACACCACCACACCACCACACCACCACACCACCACACCACCACACCACCACACCACCACGCCACCACGCCACCACACCACCGCTACCACGACGCCGACGACAACTACTACAACCACCAACACCACCACCACCACTACCACTGCAACTGCTACTGCTACTACTGCTACTACTACTGCTACTACTACTACTACTACTACGACGGCGACTACTACTAGCGCTGCTCCGACTACTAGTACTACTACGACGACGACTACTACTGTTCTACTACTGCTCAAGTACTATCACTACTACTGCTGCTGTTACTACTACTACTACTACTACTACTACTACTAGTACTAGTACTAGTACTAGTACTACTACTACTACTACTACGACGACGACGACTACTACTACTACTACTACTACTACTGCTACTACGGACTACCACTCCTACTTCCTACGACTACTACGTCTTTTATGTTGGCATCTGGCCATATCGGTACAGGGTACAGGAGGTAACAGCTTCGGCAGTTCCTGCGGTCTAGCATTGTGACTTCGTGTTGCTTTTGCTTCAGTTTCAAGGCGAACGGTTTTTGCTTTTAAGGGCTGAGGATGTTGCATGTCTATAGAGCCTGGGGCCAACTATCGATTGAGCATGTGGGGCTGCAGAGTCAATTGTTATAGGATCCCAGACATCCCAAACCTTGTGTTGAAATATGATGTCGTCACGTTGAGGGCTTGGGGCGGTTTAGGGCGAACGGTTTGTGGTTAAGAGCAAACGGCATCCTCGCTGGCATTTAGGGTTTTGGTCTCTGTTTTGAGCTTTGGTGCTTCGGACTTCTTATGCCATGAGTTTAGAGCTTAGGATCCGACGTTGGAGTGTTGGCTTGTTGAATCTACTGAGTATGCGCCGTACAGGATTAAGCGTTGCGAGGTTTAGTGTTGTTCGTGATCGCAAGCTTGAGCCTTAAGCCGTAAACCATGAAGAAATGAAGGCTTCCGTCTGCACCAGGCAGTAGTAGATCCTGAGTCTTCAACTCAGACCCCAAAGTCCAAAGCCTTGAATCCGAAACCATTAACCGTAGAGCCAGGCTCTACAAGCCTAAGCATCAAAAGCCTTAGACTCAGACCACAAACACCCTAAAGCCCAACCAGCCTTAAACACGGGCTTCAGGCGACTGCACATCAAGAGCACCATGGGGACTGGCCGCCTAAAAGGGTTGGCCCAATTTGAAAGGATTTGCCACGGGTTGAGGGCTCAAGGAACCTCACGGCATGAGACCCCCACCCCCAGACCGGAAGACGCAGAGTCTTGAGTGACAAAAGCCCTAAAACCCTAAACCCTAAACCCTAAACCCTAAAACCTAAACCCTAAACCCTAAACCCTAAACAAAAGTCTCGGGTCTACGGTCAGCTCTGAAACTTTGATCTGCCCCTGGAAGCAGGAATTGGGTGTTGGCCCCGTCAGGGGTTGTCGGACTTCGGATTTGGGGAAGGGGGTTTTGAGTTTTACAATCTACACCCCAGATTCTGAAGCAACGTACACCAAACTGTACCATTCATCATCAACTCTGCACATAGTTCTGGCTTGAGCCCGCAACTTGAAACTGCCCCAAAACGCTGGTCACAACAGTTGCTGGACCCCGAACGCGTACACTCGCAAACAACAAGCCTTCAGCTTCAGCTTGGGAAGGAAGCCCTTCACTATCTACGGCTGAGCCCGGTGGGTTGTACAGACGATGCCTCTGCTTGCTTTGCCGAAAAAGCATCCAGCGGAAGGGGCGGGTTTCAGCGATTCGAGCTTACGGACATGCTAAATAGTAGTTCCACTTTCGTACTGAAGGCTTTTGGCTTCAGGTTGAAACACTGCTGGGGCAACGGGGAAGCCTGGGGTAGTGTCGCCGTCTAAGCTTGGCCAATGAGGACTCGATGCTGCAAGTAGCAATGTTCCAGGTTCTAGCGCATGCCAGGACTTTCGAAGTGGTGATTCTATATCTTTGTTATTGACGATACGGAAGCTTGGTGACATTGCAGCATCCACCCGCACAAGTGCCGTGAGCAAGTGTAGCGTGCAGCGGAGTCACATGGCTGTGCGATACTCATGGCATTGAGGGGTTTCTGCAGGTCAGAAATCCGAAGTTAAGGCAGACCTCCAGTGGATGAGATGCCCCAAAAGATCACGCTACATGAGATCCGCATAAACCCTTCCGAAACACTTATGAAAACCCGAAACATTCCAAATCCTTATGAGGTTGAGGGCCAAGTGGAGGGCTCCGCAAGTCGTCGCGAGTAAGCGTCCCCAGGTTGGACAATCCGAGGCTGAGGCTAGGGTGAGTCACAAGGTTTGAGGCAAGTATCTGGAGTCTAGGGTTTCAGGTTTTGGGGTCTGAGGTTTAGGGCCAAGGGTCGGGTACATACCCCGGCGGCGTTCCGCAGCCAGCTGAGACAGAACGTCAATGTTGTAGGCTGCGCATTGTTGAAGATTTGTAGACCCTTCAGTCGAAAGGCGCAGGCTCCACAGCAGAAGCTCCAAACCCTGCACCCTAAGCCTTAGATCTCATCAGAGATGGCCTTTTCAATTCTAGGTCGGAATCTTCAGTAAAGCCACACTGAAACAAAGCCTCACACCTTCAGACCTCAACCATAGACAGCCTACAGCTCTACAGATTCCTCAAACCCTAAGCCTGCCCTGCGACCCTGGCACCCCCAAGCTGTACGCCGGCCGACGTCCTTCAACTCTGGCCGGAGTCCTATGCGAGATGGCTTCAGACGAGGCCCCGTTCGGGTGCAAAGGGCTTTCAAGTTTCGGAAATAGGAGTTGAAATTTAGGCGTCACGGTTCCACACCGGGGTTGGGATTTTGGTTTCGGATGGGGTGTAGGGCTTAGGATTTACAGCTCAAGGTTCTGGCGTCTGGGTTTGAGGTTAAGAATCTGGAGCATATTTGATCAAGTGACGGCGGGTATGTAAGCATTCCGCTCTTTTGATCAGGACACGCCATTCAGGAAGGATTGTTCCCGCAGTTGGCGGTTGCTGTGGCTCGGAGCAAGGGCCGTGTCCGCAAGGGCGGCGTCACTGCTGCGCCTGCGGGCACTTCCGCAATTTTGCTGAGCTACCCGTGCCAGCTTTTACAATCAAGAGTCTCGGGGGTACTGTAAGGGTTGGCCTGGCCGCTGCCGCGCCTGTGTAGGCGTTTTTTCCTTCCAACACTCTTCCCTTCCCGCGCATTCCTGAGGTTGACACATGTAGCTGACCTCCAAAACCGCAAATTAACCCGAGAACCCGAAAAACCTAAGTCTGAGATCCTGAAGACCCGAACTGACCTAAACCATTCACACTTCAGGCCTCGAAGGTCTCCGAAACATACTCCTAGGCCCTATACCGTTTTGCTGAGGAAGCTGCCTTCGCCCAAAGTGTTTTTCCCCCGCAGTCGTTAGCTCTATGCCTCTATGCTCAAAGCGGGCTGTTGGGTTCAGGTCGCCTCACAACCAACCCGAAAGTTATTCCGAACCTTTGAGGGACTCTTCGTGAAGTTGGGGGCAGCCGCAGGTAAACCCCTCTGCACCGACACAACAACAACAAAGTAGTAGGATGCCTAAGCCTTAAAACCTTGAACGCCAAAGCCTAAGTACTGGGATCCTCGTAAGAACCCGTTTGCCGGCTTCGAACCAACCCTTTTTCTGGAGCCTTCAGATGCGAGGCCACAGGTGAGGCTTGAGGTTTTAGTGTTTGTGGCATTCAGAGCTCTAGGCATTCAGGTGTCGGGTTTGGGAACTTCAAGGATTGGATATAGAAGGTTTGGGCTACGGTATGAGGTTGGGACATATATGTGGGCTTTCGATTAATCCTTTTTATCAGGGAGGTCCAGGAACTGGAACTTCCGGCCTTGGTCGTTGACTGGGCAGGCTGCAGGGAAGACAATGGCCAGTGGGGCGAAGAGAAGAGAGCTCCTTTGGCCAGCGAGTGGTGGTTTTCTGGGTTCAGGGGGATTAATTTATTAACTTAGGGTTTAGGGCTCAACTTTTAAGGTTTAGGTTGAGTTTGCTGGAATCTGTTGAAGAGGTTCGGGGTTTCAGATTTCGTACACTGCAGGTTGAGGTTGAAGGGTTGACCCACATTAGGCGTTGAGTTTGGGTGAAGCTTGAAACCCTGGCACGATTCGGTTGCACGCTGTGTGAGGCCTTCGTAACCCGCAACCCCCGAGCCCGAATCCTTGAGCCCCAAATCCAAATGCTGAGCTCTAAACCCTAAACCCTAGACCCTAAACCGTCCGCAGATCTTCAGGTGCTGGGCCGCTCGCGACGCCTTCTTCGCTTGCCTGGACCAAGGGGACGGCCAGATGGGTCCAGAGGCGCCTTTCGGGCTCTTAAGGATTGAAGGCTTTGGGCTTGAATCTGCATTTGTGACATCCTCGGTTTATTCGGTGTTTGGCGCTTTGCAGGATGTTGCAGGTTGCAGGGTTCCACCTTATACCAACGGAGCTCTGAGGGACTCACTTGGAACTGTCTAGGGCTAGCGCCCAAGATCCAGGTTTCCAATGTTTAGGCTTTAACAGTAGGATCCTCACTTTGGATTGTCATCTCCCGATATGCGAAGTCCGAGTCTTCACCGGAAGGCAGAAAAGCGCTGCGCAAACGAATGGATCGAGTTCCAGGCATGGGTCTTTGGGATCCAACACCCCTCGGCCCTGCACATCTCTCTCCAAGAAAATTTGCCACGTCGTCAGTCGTGCGGTTAGTTTCTCTTATGTGGGAGCATGCTTCCCTTGACTCCACAGCGCAAAGTTGCTACAAACTGAACGACGAGGATGCACCTACGAGAACAGTCCCGAGGTGATAATACACTTGCATAAACCAACCTGCGTTCAAGTGGGCCAATGGAGACATGCATGTGCCTTGTGATGATGACCTAATCTACCCGGAGGCCCCACACCAAAATCGATAGCAGAGGGATCAAGGAAAGTCCAAAGGTAAAGCTGCAATGCTCTACCGTCGGATTCGGGTTAATCCGAGATTCCTGCGGACATCGCAAAAACGGCACAATCGAGACCCACCCTAAGCCAATAAAACCCAAGACCAGGGACAACAAGGCCGTGCTCCCCTCGGTTTGCCCATTCCTGTTGCGCAGAAGCGATGCCTGCCCTCCTGGGTGAAGCACTTCGTCATGCAGAGGCCTTTTGCGGCTCGGATTAGGTTCAGGGGTTCAGGATTCAGGATCCAGAGGTTGAGGTTCTCTGGGTATACTGCAGTTTAGGTTGCGGGCTTCTGCTGTTCTGGTTTGGCCTCTTCGATTTCCACTTTCAGGTTTCCCTGTGCAGTAGATTCAGTAGTAAGTAGTGCTGCTTGAGTTTCAGAGCTGCTGATGATAGCGAAAGAAGTGATGATGCCAAGCCCGGAAGCCATACCTGAAATCTCGAAATGCCTTCAGTTTTGCAGGAACTTGGGCCAACCCGGTGCCAGTTCGGGCTCCTGACACGGCGAGCAGGAGCCTCATGGCTTGGGAATCTGTTCCTGCTTGGGATCGGGGGGTTTGTTGCTTCACAGTTTTTGGGCTTTGGGTTAGGGCTTTGGGGTTTCGGGCCTCGGGATCTCTCAGGGTTTAGTTTTCGTTGTGGAATGGTGCAGAGGCGAAACTGGCCAATGTGCCATACTGTTGGGGTCAGAATGCGTCGTACTCGCAACGCGAAATCAAAACCTAATCGCCGGGGGGGGGGGGGGGGGCATCTTTGAATTTCTATCCCAACCCAAAGCCCTGCTCGGGCGACCAAGCCACCAAAGGTTTTGGAACCACTAGAATACAGGAGCGCCGAAACTGCGAACAGTTGCAAGTGAAAACGTGGACGTAGACTCAGCAGACTGCAGACTGCCAGGCTGAAGATGGGGCCTGAACCATGGGCACTGACGGCTCAAGCCCGCTTTCCTGGTCGAGGATATCCCAGGCGTTGGAAATGTACATACACCGATGGCTTGCTGACAGACGGCCTGAGCTTTGATAAGTTGTTGTCCCTCGCAACGTCAATAATACGAGGCTCTAATGTTAGATGGCTGCCCGGAGTCTTCGAGCCGTGTACACCACTTGTAAGAGGTTTGAAACTGGGCACGCTGTCAGCAAGCTACTGACATGGCGATCCGAGAGATCATCACCGGACCTGAAAAACGATCATCGCAGACTGAAGCTCCGAACCCTTAGCCAAAACCCCTCAGAGCCCATCAGATTTGTGAGCCTCCATCCCAGGCCTGAGACCCGGGCTACCAAGACCCTGCTGAGACAGTGCAGATCCGAAGCCCCAACATAAACACCTAAAGGCGCAGCTTGTGGGGTGTCTTGGATTCAAGGCCTCAGGCTCGGATAGGAGCTCAAAGCCCTAAAGCCCTAAAGTGAACACTGCGGCACTAAGTCCCTTCTGGGCTTTTTCGTAGGTCCTTCTGAGCAGCGGGGCACCAATGCACGAGCATCGGATAGTCCGACTGGATGCCCATTGGTTCTCAGATTTAGGGTTTGGGGCTAGAGGTGTCTCTCATTCAAGGCACTGAACCCCGAACCCTGAATCCTCAAGCCCTCGGCCGCAGCCCTATCTTGCTACAGCCCGAGATACCACATAAACAACCAGAACCGAGAGCTGGCTTTGCCGAGCAATGTTTATCGCCAAGTACCTCGATCAGAAGCAAGGCGAAGCTCGCATCTCGATTGCACCAGGCTTCGCAATTTTTGTTGGCTTTCTTCACGGGGGTCCTGTGTTGTGGGGTCTCTTGTTCTGAAATCCCCAACGACGATCGTCGTCGACTTTTCGTTCTAGGGTTCGGCTACCCTTGCTCGGACCTTGATGAGGATCGTCAGCATAAGTCTCGATATAAAAACCGGAGGTTCGACCCCAAACCCCAAACTCCTCGTGCCACTATGACAGCATTGATCCCCACAGGACGACCGCTACGAAAATACCACCAGGATAAGGACAGCATTCAGAGACCAACAGGAGGTGCAGGATCCCAGCGACCACGAGGAGACCAGCGCGAGACCACCAAGGAGTTCAAAGTTGTTGACAGAGGCTGCAGGGTGGCCACAATACGCCACAATGAAGCTGGCTTCCCCGGGGATGATGTGGTCCGTGGTCCTGTGTAAATATACTCACGTGTGTGCAAAACATGCGCGTCGCACAGTGTGAGCCGCGTCCCGCTTGCTCAGTTGACTTCATGAAACCTGCTTCGACTTTCTTCGGTTTCAACGCATAGGCCTGAGAAAGGCCTGCGAGAAGGGCAGAACAACGTGTCAACTCAACTTCCTACAGTTTGGCTACGCAGGGAATCAGAGCGTTTGGGAAAGCCTGCGTCCCAAGCCAAACCCTAGACCATGACCTTTAAGCCCTCAGCCAGAAGCCCAACATCGGCTACCTCGAGAGGTTCTGTTTCCTCGAGGACTGCTGAGTTGTAGGTAGCAAGATCGTCAGGTATGCAACATACAACGCCCGTCCCGAGTCATAGACCCCAACCCGCCTGAACGGATAAACCCTCTCAAAGCCCAATAGCACCCAAAGCGTGCGATGCCTCAGAAACCGACAGCCCCCAATACAGCCGCACAGTCCGAATCCCAAAGCCCGAAGAGCCTACTGCACAGGATTCTGAATCATAAGTCCAGTGGACCCCAAAGCTCACCACCTAAGTCCTAATCACTACACGGAACAAGCCCTGCAGCCCAAAGCCCCAAGTCCGAAACCCGAAACCGAAGGCGCACTTCGCAGCCTTGCGCCCTAAATCCCCTGAGCATCGCAACAGACCCGCGCAAACCCCCGGTTCAACTCTGCAGCTCGACCCGTACTAAACCCTAAAAGGCGGCACCTCGGCAAATCCACAAAGAAGCATAAGAGGACCCGAAACCTACAACTAAACACCGAATCCCTACATTCCCGAACCGTTTACTGTTAGGATTTGAAGGTTTACGGGTTTCGACTTCTGCACTTTTGGGTTGTTTTCATTAGGGTTTATGCTTGTATTTGGTGTAAATCGACCCCGAACCCGTGGAACCCTGAGCCCAACGTCCCTGTTCCCCTGGAGAGTGGCTGAGGCGTGGTCGATCAGCAGCAAGTTATCAGGGAGCGCTTGGAGGTGCCGATGTAGTGTTTAGCTGGGTTTAGGTCTGGGGTGCTCGGCGTCCAGAATCACCGCGTGTCGGATTCAGGGTAGGTTCTACTGTTTGGGGTTAATTAGGGGCATCGGTTGAGTGGTTCGCAGATCACTCCAACTACCCGACTGGTTACCGTTCCTGGGATGATAACTGTACGAAATCATGCTGTGCGATTTAGGCCGTCTTCTGTTCAGGCGGGTGGAGGCAGATGAAACAGGAATCTTTAGCGGCTCGAAGCCAACTGCTCGGTAGAGTTGGAGCTGCGGATCTCGAAGAGTTGATCATGTCAAGTCGCCTTGCTTTCGCAAGCCTGCCACGAAACGCTTTTTTCGCCAGAAGCGGGAGCGCGAGCGGGCGCAGCGGTTGTGGTGGTATTGACAGTGGCCGTTGTAGTCATGGTGGCGGTGGTGGTGGTGGTGGTGGTGGGCGGCAGCGGCAGTGGGAGTGCTGTAAAAAAAGGCAGAGGCAGTGGCAGTGGCAGAAGTACGAAGATGAGAAAGAGGAAGACTAATGCTGATGACAAGAACACCGAGCAATATACCAGAACTGCAATAAGAAGGACACTTATGCTTGCTGTGGCAAGAGAAGAGATAGCGAACTGGTCATGATCATGCTTTCTCTCGCTGAGAGGTGCAGAAAACTGTGGTATGATGAGTGCAGTGGTACCGGTAATAGAAGTTCAAACCTGCAAGTTTTAGCTTCAACCCCGGGTGCTACCAGTAAGTCCCGGGAGCTCTGCGCCGATGAAGTTTTGTATCCCCCTGGAAACCCCAAACGCCGGAAGCCGAACCCTGAAACTGCCTGGGCCCCAAAACTTAAACTCCAACAAAAAACGAGACTTCGAACCCATCAAAACTCTTCTTCGGGATTGGGCAGAGGTTTTCTTGAAGCAGCGCCCAACTGCGCGGAGTTGTTGAACGCGGTGTGCTCGGCCCCTTGGCACAGTGATGTACCCCACCTTGGCATGCCTGTTTCATTGGATGTTCCCAAAATGGTCAGAATGATAATCACCGGCATTCGTGAATATCGTAGCTACCCTGGTCGAAAACTAGTACAGTAGAATTTGGGGCTTGAAGTTGACAGGCCGCACAAATCCAGTGAACACGCCGTTGAAACGCAAAAAATCGTGAACACAAACCCCGCATACTGAACATAAACCTCATACCGCAACTCCTCAATCTCGCATTGTCGGGTTTATTCGTGGATACCGTGAGAAAGCACCTTCACAGGGTCGCCCCAAGCCACTGGAGTGGTATGTTTACTTGCAAACAGGTGTCCCGTGTGGTCAGGTACTGCTGGCATGAGCATACACAAGAAGCACATAAACCTCTTGAAGCAAAAGCTTCAAAGCCTGCGAGGTCGAGACCAGCGGGTCGCTGTTGCCCGATCAGTCGTCGAAGAGCTTTTGTCACCTGCTGGCAGTAAAGATACGAAGCATTGGAACCGGTCTAAGGCTTTCCACCCAGTTTTGAGAATGTAGCTTGCATGATATTCCTTTAGCCTTTTTGTACTATAGTATCGCCGACAATGCAACGAGGACTCATTTTCATGTGCGGTGCACTGCAAGACTCCGCTTGGAAGCTTCAGTTTTCACTGGGCCTGTGGATCTAGTGTGGGTGTCCGGCTTCCAGCGTGAATTTGTTGCTACTGAGGGCTTAGGGGTCACTCGTATGGACTACAGGCCTCATTCTTTAGGATCTGGCCTTGCCCGCTAGCTCCCCAGAGCCCTGAATCCGTTCCTCAAGCGCAAACTGTTGCAGAAGTGTGGTTTGTGGTGTGGGCGCGAGACACCGCTCACCCGACCTGCGGCGGGAGCGCATTTGTCTTCAGGTCGACTTCCACCGCGTGTGAAGGAAGACGGAAGATGGAAGAGCTTTGCAAGCTCCATGACTTCTCGCGCAGGAGATTTCAGGCGTTGCCACCTCATCGATTCCGGCCCGCACTCATGTTGTGCAGATGCCTGACGAGGCTGACGATGGCGCACGGCCAGACGCGGGGAGGCTATTGATTGGCATGCGATGTGGGCTGCAAGACAACGTCCGACCGTGACAGTGATGTGGTGAGTGCCCTCAGTTCTTACTCGGAAAGTAACCGAGCGCAAGGCTGGTCTTTAAGATAATTTGTCTTAGGTTTGAAGCCTAAGCCCTCGGCTCCAGGCATAGTCCATGTAGAAGACCCCTAGTTGGCTGAACGCTAAACCCAAACTCAGCGTTGCAGTCATTGCTTTAAATATGGCGAGGGTAACGGGCTCACCGTCAGGTACTGAGGTTTGTGGGTCTTTATGGCCCCAGCCCCCTAGCCCCGGAACCCAAACCGAAAACCTCAACCCCCTGGAGCCCTGAACCACGCCCGGAGATTGATTCCCAGCTGAACCGAGCCTCGAAGCTCAGCTCAGGAAGTCGCGGTTGAAGGCAACAGGGGTTTCAGTTCAGGGTTTGCAGCCTGGCTGTTTCGGGAGTTTGAAACTATTCGGGAGTTTCGGGTTTAGGGGTTCAGGTGTCCAGGGTTTCGGGTCTTGGGCTTCGGGGTTTCAGCCCAGACTCCGCCGTGCCAAATGTGCCTTTTCGGTAGCTTTGTGAGTTCAGCATCGGATGTTGCGAGGGGGCGTGGGGGGGGGGGGGGGGGTGAGATTTGGGGCTCATTTTTCGGACCGCAATGGGTTGAGGCATGCGCTGTGAAGTTTAGGATTTAGGATTTAGAGTTGCGTCGCATCAGCGTAGCCGAATGCTCTTTAAAGCCTGACTTCCTAAACTCGACTGGGTGTTTGCATTCTGGCTTTTTTGTTCAAGGTGCCCTACCCGCTGGACCCTGAGCATAAACTATCCGGGCTCTGAAAATTCAACATTCCAGCAGCCTCAAATCCCCATGAATGCCACGCACAAGAAGCCTGAGGACGGCTAAATGAAGCTAGAAATGAAGCCAGATCACTGCGAGTACCCACAGCTTGGGAGTTTCAGTTTCTGGGCATCAAGACGTCCTTCAGGCACGAACCAGAATCGTGATCCCGAACCTGCACCAGTAATCCCCACGTTTGGGCTTCGGTTTGAGGGAACCCTCAGCTCTACCTGCGGAAAGTCCCAAATCCTCCTGACTCGTACCTATGGCCCACGTCGGTGCTGTGGTAGTCGGCGCCGGTGTTGTGGGCGCTGCGGCCGCTCGCAGTTTGGCCCGAGCCGGGTTGGAGGTGGGGGAAGAGGGGATTGCGATATGTAGGGGCGGGTCTGAATAGTTAGAAGGGGGTTTGGGCATGGTTGCTGTTTACGGTATACTGTTAATACAATTTGTGATGTGGAACCTCAATTAAGGACGAAGGAAGAGTAGATTACTAACCATACTAATTATAGGGGTTATTGTTACATGACTGAAGGTTCTGTTGGGATTCCATAAATTGTAGCAGTTTATTGCTGACGGTGGTTTTAGTCAGTATTGCGGTTGTGTGTGTGTGTTAGGGATTAGGGTGTGAACTGAGGCTTAGGGTTTCAGTCTCGGCGCTGTTACGGTTTATCAACTTGTTGTTTGTTTGCAGGGTTGCCCTTGGTGAACGAAGGAGTGGGCGCTGCAGAGGTGGCTGATCCAGTCTTTGCTTGGGGTAATGCGGTCTTCTAATCTGGTCTTGAACAGACACTGGCTTCAGATTTTGTTTTAATTTCATGGCAAATATGGAATTCTGGCCTTCCTCGGCATTCGTGTGCTTCAGCTGTGGGGCAACCCTAAAGCTTCTCCATGAAGGCCTCAAATCCCGAAGGTCCTGGCCGTGGACCGGTTTCGCCAGGCCGGTCAAGGCACCACCAGCCGCAACAGCCAGGCCTCGGGTTTTCAGGAGGCTTTGGTTTCGGGTTTAGGGCGTTAAGGGTTCGAGCTGATTTAAAGGTTCAGCTTCTGTAGTTCAGGATGTTAGTCTGGCGTAAGCCGTAAGCATCATGTCAAAACATCGCTGTGTGACAAACAGGCCGAACACATTCCGAAAGCAGGAGGCAACCGCTTGCACGAAAACGCGCAGTCCGCCTTGGGCAGGTGATCCATGCTGGCCTCTACTACCCCGACGGGAGCCTGAAAGCCGGGAGTTTCCGGAGTGGGAGTGGGAGTTTCTGTAGCAGTAGCAATTCGAAGAGTCGGAGTGGGACGCTTGGAAATGGTTTGCATCGGATTGCTGATGGTTGATCTTCTGTCCGGAGATCTGTCACTCCGTAGGAAGGGTTCAGCCACGGACGAAGGGCTTGGTGAGTTGTCACGGACACTGGCAGTGTGCTTTTTTATGCGTCTGTGGAGAGCTTCGGAAGTGTCTCAGGGCGTGTTGGAGGGCTTGGATTTCTGGGACCTACACTCTAACTGACTCGAACTGTCTCTTAGATCGCCGGGGGTGGTGCTTACGGGTCTAGATTTAGTGTTGACAAACTGTGTGCCGGAAGCCTGGAGTATCGTCTGGGAATGGAGTCTCGACATCCCAGAAGCCTTCAGCTTGCACTTGCAACCCTGAACCCTACGCCCGAAACCTGAAGGCACGCTTCTGCGCGGCGAGTGCTGCGCGACTGTACAAGTTTGCTGAGAGCCGCCATATCCCGCACTGGCCGCTGGGTTTATGAATTACTGACTCCTGTCCCTCCTCGTCCTCCTCCTCCTCCTCTGCGTCCGCCTGCTGCCGATGGTAGTGATGGTCTGCTGGTGATCGTGCTGCTGCTGCTGCCGACTACTGCTACTGCTTCTCTGCGCCGCTTCTTACTCGTTCTGTTACCACGCTTGCTGCCGCTCACAACTCGTCATAATTCTAAACCAATTAATTGCCACCGCCACTAGTAACTAGTACGCAGAGCTGCTGGGAGCAATCCTCCCAAGAGGTGCGCGAAAGAACGACCAACTCAAAGCCCAAAAGCCCTAACCAAGACTTTGCGGCCTTGAGCCTTAAACCCGAAAATCTTCTTAAACCCTAAACCCCAAACTCTGCACCCGTGGGAGTGAGCACTTCGACCTTCGGGAATTCGGGGGCTTCAGCGCAGGCCCGTCTCCTTTTTGGGAGCCATTTTTTTGAAATGTTGCAAAATAAAATAAACAATATGATATAGTATAGTATAGTGGAATATAGTAGGCTATAGTAGAACATAGGGTAAAGTGATAAAATATAGTACAATCTATCTCTCGGAGTTAATCGGGGTACTCCCCAAGCCCTAAACTCACTCGAGTCTCTAAACCCTTAATGCGTCATCATCAAACTCACAGCGACTATTAAGTTTAAAATGTTTAAAAGTTCGAAGGCGATCAAGGGAGCCATCAAAGTGCTTTGGTAGACTTTCCATTGTAGTTCATCTTCGGTCGCTCCGGTTTTCCGATTACAAAGCATTCGAAGAACTTCACTGGAGGGTCTAGGTAAGTCTTGACCGTCTGCCTTCGACGGATTTGTCGGGTGTTTGAGGGAAAGGCTTCAGATGCACAGGCTCTCTGTGGGATGGGCCCTTGTGGTCAGACAGGGGTTTGAAGAGTTCTCATTTTGGCGTGGCTTGGCTCTGGTCTGCTTGCACAGACACTCCCACCCCAACAAAGATCCCAATATGACCCATGCACCTTGAATGAGTGCTTCCACTGATTCTTTTTGGCTCGAATTTCCCCGCGCCATCACGCAGCGCGACCTTGAGGACAGGGAGGTGCGCGCTCGTGCTCGAGCGCCTTGCGCGGGCCGAGCTGCTGCAACCTGGGAAGGGGGGAAGGGGGTGCGGACCTAGAACCTGTGATCGAAGAAGCCTAGACCACAACTCCTAGACCGAAGCCCAGCCCAAGACCGAAAGCTGCCAAGCCGCCAGATCCAGATCAAAGCCTAAACGTAATGCTTGAAATCCGAAATTGTGGACTCTGGTTGCATTAATTAATTGAACCCCCACTTCTGCTCCCAAAACCTGCACCAAGAACCCTATAGATCTACAGGCTTTTAAACTCAGGCTCGGACCAACATCTACACCACACAGGTTTGGGGCCGCATTGTCGGCTAGCTTGGAACCCTCCGCAAAAACTCAAGGCTCCGAGTCACGAGTCTGAGAGCATCGAACACTCAAGCCCCAAATACCTCTCCGTGTGAACCCAGAAGACCACTGCCAAGGCATTCAGAACCAGACAGTTACTCAGATCCTATTGTTGAAGCCCTCTTAGCACTATAGCCTGCAAGCCTGAACTCCAGCTCGACCCGCTACCCTATACACGCTAACACTCCGGCATCTGTTCCAGGAGCTTTGCTCCCACGCTGTTGTGCTTCAGCAAGAACTTGATTTAGGGTTTAAGGTTGAATATACAGGTTTGAAAAGACGGCTTTTTCCCAGATTCCACACTTGAGACCTGAAGATCTAGCGATTCTCGATTCTCGGTGAAGTGCAGCCATAAACCTTCCAGCCCTTAAAGCCCTAAACACCAAAGCGCCCCCTATGCGCAACCTAGGTTCTTACTACGCCTGGTTGGTGCCGTCAGGGACTTGGGGAAAGGGTTTGGGGTGTAAGTTTAAGGCTTACGGGGTTGGGCTTGCGATTACGATCAGGGTTTGCGGCTTGGGGTTTGTGTGGGCTGCAAGCCTTGAAAGCCAAGAGCCCTGAACCGCGCGCCCTCATATCCCAAAGCTCCAGTCGCTGTACAAAGAGAGTTGAGCCTTCACTTGACGGTGAAGGTAGCTAGTCACATCTACTTATTACCCTGATTTAAGCAACAAGACCCCAGTTACTAGGTCCCCTGATCTTTCCGCCAGTGTTTCGGAAGTTTCGCGGTTTGGGTTTTGAGGTTCACGCTTTAGGGGTTAAGGATTCCAGGCTTCGGGCTTCAGACTCAAGGTTGAAAGTCTAGAGTCTGATCCTGTTTCGCTTTAAAGTCGGCCTACCAATTTGGGCCCTATCCCGGGTTACGGGAGTCATCTGCGGCTTTCAAGATCCAAGCCTTACAGAGTTTCCCAGGTTGTTTGTGTGATTGTGTCGAGCCGGGCTCCGAACTTCGGTTGTTCTGAACTCTGCAACTACACGCCCTTCTTGTCTTTGGGGTCACTTCCTTCACGTCCCCTATCAGAACAGTTTAGTGCAGGGCCTCGGGATCAGAGTCCCCCTTCGCCTGAAAGTCTGACATAGTCTGTGCCCGAATAACGAACAGACCATCGGGCGTATCCGACGTGCAAAAGACCAACAACTCCTAATACTCTCGCTCCCAAAACCCTGGCTCTGGCAGCCTGAACTAAACCCCACATCCAGAAAGGCCGATTCTAAATTCCTCAGCATCCCACCCGGTCTGCGAGTCAGGTGATGCAGGCTCAGTGGCTCGGTCCTCGAATTCGAGGCCAACGAGCTCCCTGGGCTGCGAGCTCAGGCTGTCCTTGGCTGGAGTGTGCCGAGGGCTTGTGAGTGTGGGTTCAGGTGTGGTGTCAGGGACAGAAGCTCTGGTATCTAGGTTTCCTGGTATCCGGGGTTCGTGGCATCGGTGTGCGCAGGTCCACAACTCTGGATTGTTCTCCTCATCCTCGGAGCACTAGCTCTTCCACCCTAAACTTCGAAGGGTGACTCAGGCTCTCAGCTTTTTGCAGACCACAGGCACACGCATCGTGGGGATCCACGTCGCGCACCGGTGCCCAGGGAGCACTAGCCGCTAGCCTAGGCACTTGGATGGGGGTTTTGGGGTTTACGGATTAAGGATCAAGTCATTCGGCGTTACGTGGGATCCATACACATGTCGTCACAAGGACTTTTGAGAATTGCTGGCCTATTTGATAGTAAGGTTCTGTCAAAACGGTCTTTCCCGGATAGTGTGTGTAGAAGTTCCCACTCAATCTCTATCTCGTGGGCGGTGCCTTGTGGCCGAGTTGCAGCTGCATGCCCTGGTGCATGGCTCCAGGGGGGACTTTCTTGGAGAGCAGCTTCGAAGGGGCTTAGCCTCCTGCCTTGTCTGACAACATGAACGAACTTTGTCACAACGATTTAGTCTTCTTGGATCACTCGAAGCTTCATGCACCTGTTCCAGTGTGTCTGATGTGACACCCTTTGGTTCTAGATGCTGCACATGGGTCTGTTGCCTTGTCAACATGAGCGCAGTTGATGCTCGCCATGCATTGCATGTGAGCCACTGGCTTTGAATGCTTCACATGACTGGCTGTTCTGTGTTGTATAATGTGTCACTCAACTGTCTCGTTGTGTGGATGTGAGTTCTGATGTGTCTCGCTTGTGGGTGCTTCTGACTGTATAGCTGTATAACTTGCCTTGCGACTTCCAAATTGTTGGACGTCGAATCCCATGTTTTGAGCTAGGGTGCCTTGCATAACTACTGGAATCTCAGATTTTCTTCATTGCCGGCAGACTCCAAGCCTGCCGTCCATGCTGCCCAACCCATGCTGCCTAAGTGCCCTAAACCCTAAGCCTTAAACGCTAAAATTAACCCCAAGCCCTTATGAAGCCACGGCGCTAAGCCACTCTACGAGGCCGATTCGCTTTCTGGGCTGTTCTCGATATTCAACAGCCCCTCACTCCATGACGAACTTCGTCGTTGTGAATGCCGGCTGTTTCAGGTATAGTTGTCTTGCTAGCAAGCCAACATACTATGGAGAGTTGTAGAAACCCAGACCCTCAGAAAAGACCATCTTGCCTTCAGAGTCACAAGAGCCTCCTCGCCCTCCAACCAAGCATTGAGCGGCAGGCCCTTTCCAGTATTGCTTGGGCGTGATCGTGGACGCGTCGGCATGTAGTGTTCGAGATGCGCAATGATTTTGCGTGAATGCTGATCAACTGTATAGTGGCCCTTATCCTTCAATTGCCATCATAACATGCAAATATCCTTCTTGGGTCCCTTCTTGTGTATCACAACATTTCACCTGGCCGGAGCCGAACTGGGGCAATCCGTGCAGATGACAAAAGGAACACTGGGCATGTCTGCAAACTGCACTGTGCCTTTGATGGGCCCACATGTCTTGAGTGGCCAACTTTAAACCATTGCCACTGCCACTGCTTCCACAACAACAACTACTACTACCACCACTTTTGCCACTACTATATACTAGTTACTAGTACTGCTGCTACTTCTCCTCCTACTACTACTACTACTACTACCAGTACAAGTACGGGCACGAGTACTACTCGTAGTAGCGACTACAACCTGGACCACGACCATGACTACTGCCACGGCTACGACTGCGGATGCGACGACTAGGGCGACTGCTACAACGGCTACTGCTACGATGACGACCACTAGAACTCCGACCGCTGCTACGACGGCTACTTCGACGACTGCCACGACGACAAGGGCGGGGGCGGAATACTACCGCTACTACGACGGCTCGTCGGACAGCCATGACGACGACTACTACGCGGCAGTTTCGACGATTTCCACGATGACGACCACGCTGGTATCGGTGGTGATGGCGATGACGACCGTTGCGTTGACATTGACATCGACGGCGTCTGTTGCTGTAAACACGATCATGAATACGTCCACCTGTGTCATTCTTTAATTGAGTTCGGTCGGTGTTGGAATCACTGTCTTCTGGTGTGTTTGTTGGTAGAACTTTCGTAATTTGTCATTGCAGCCAATGCCATCAACAGTTCATGCTGTAGTTGTAGTTCACCGTTGCAGGCCCCTCGAACCTGTTGAGGGCTGTGAATGCTGCAGCACTGTGGCTTTGGTTTGTTTTTTTCTGGTTCGTGGCTGACAAGCCCTTCGCGCCTCGCGTGAAGTTCATCTGAAGCGTAAGCCGCGAACTCGGAATCTCAAGCGCATGCCAATTCTAAATCCTCAACTGTAAACTCGCAGCCCCAAATCCAGGCTCGACAGCTTTCCCGAAACTGATCTCCAGTATTGCACAAGACAAATTACAGAAGTCGGACGGGTGATGCACGGAATGTTGCGCACCTGCATACAGGATGCACAGGGCATAGATAGATGGCTAGATAAACAGACGCATTGCTAGGCAGATACACGACACATAGATTGACAGATCGGCAAGCACATAGATAAACAGATAGCTAGACAGGTAGGCAGCCAGCTCGAAAGAACGACTGAATCACAGGTATATAGGGATACAGATGATATAGACGAAAGCATAGCTTGCAGCTGTGTTGATTCCTTATTCAATACTTCAGCGCCCCTGAGCAACCATTACAGCATTGCTCATGCATGCTGGTGAAAAACGATTCCCCTGGCGGCTCTCCCCAGCCACTCTCCCACGAAAGGAACTGCCAAAAGTTGGTGGTGGCTGCAGAAGGGTCTCCTGAAGCAATTTGTTTAGGGCTTGGGAAGGGGCTTTTGCGTGTTGTGATTGCGATGATCGTGAGCTTATGTCTTGCAGTCAGACGCTTCGTCCCAAGCCTTCAGCCTAGGATTCTCTTCAAGACAAAAGCTTTCCGAATTCTTGGCTGGTCGAGATATTTAGGTTCCGGAGTTATCTAGAGTTGACGTTGTTTTTGGTGGGTTCCAGGCGGCAGGTGCTCGGTTGTGACAGGCTTCCGTGCGTTGGCGGACAGGTGTGAAATATAGCTTCGAAGATAGTGGGATTCCACAGCAAGGGCCCCGGTTTGATTAGCAAGAGAGTGGAAGTGTAGACATGACGCTGTACGGGTCGCTGCACTGCGGAATAAATTGCAACTGGATCCTTGGAAGAGGCCATGTCACACGTTCATTGGGAGAACTATCTCCTCAGACCTCTGGCGAGGCAAGAAGAGCGCTTAAAGACTGTGGCAGAGCACGCGCGCAGTATTGGCTGTTTGCAGAAGGAGAACATGCGTATGCTGTCCAGAGGCTTGCCTGAAGAAGCTCGACGGTTGCTAAGGTTTCAGGTTCTCAGCGAGACTTTGCAGCTTCCACCTAGGCACTTAGGGATGAGATCGGCAACATAAGCCCAGAGAAGCTTCGCTACAAGAAGCTACGTTGTGGTAGGGTGATTCAAATGTTATAAGAGGCTTATGTTTGAACCCTACAGACAAGGTATAGAGCTAAAGGTTGAGGGTTGAGATCTTGCCTGCTGTGCTGGGCAGCACGGAGCCTCGGTGAAGGTTTCAAAGTTTAGAGCGGAGGGCTGCAGGCTTGAGCGTTTAGGGCTTATGGCCCTGGGGCTTCGGGTTGAGTTTTAGGGTTCCTGCATTCCGCTAGAAGGTTCGGGTTGCGGGCCTAGTTGCCCCTGCCCCAGGGTTCAGGGTGTAAGTTCATGGCTTTCAGCTTCAGCATCTGTCGTCGGGAGTCTCGGTGGATGCATGGAGGAGTGTTCGATCCTGCCCGGCATCTTTTGCCGAAGTATGCATAGTATGCCTGTAATAGAAGCCCTGGTAACAGGGGTAACATCGTGATGATCGGAGCACTAGGATCCTAGAAGGGGCGGGGTTCCAAGGGGAGAGGTTACTAGGGAAGGGAACCTTAAGGAAACCTTTAGGCTTATTAACTCTCCCCTCCCTTAAGGATCCCATAACTCGTACCAGCAATGTAAGTGCTGCCAAAGAGGATAGACATGGTAGCATTTCCGGTGCTGACAACAGTATGAACTAGCTCCCCCAATAGCACGGGAACTGTTTGCACAAATGGAGGCATGCGATCTCAAAGCCTGAATGCTCGAAATCCAAGCTCAAGAACAGTTTTCTCGCTTGACATGAAGAATGAAATCTGTGGGTGTTTTCCTCTCCAGACACAACGCCCAGAAGCCCACGTGCGCCATCTGGCAAACAAGGAGGGTGTCTCATCTCTTAGACTCGACATCATCAAACCTGGACAGTCGGCAGACACCGAGAGCTGAATTCCAAGGCACGGCACGCACCCCAGAACACAGGAGGTGGAGAGTAAACCTCGTAGCTGATCAATCAGCACACTGAGACACGACACCAGGGAAAGCCTGGACACCTGCACTGAAAGACAAGTGACCTGACACACTGAGGCACTGAGACGCGGGAGTGCCAAGATACCGGAGTACCAAGATACTAAGGAAACTCGCAGAGACGCGACAGCGAGACACTGGGATCCACGACACAAAACCACCGGGGCATCAAGAAAAGGGCACTGCGCAGACAACAGAGCGCCGAACAAGGCTGGATGCCGTGACAGACATAGAGATAGCGTGACGCCCGCACATCGAGAAACAGCAAAACTACCGGGACACAGAACGGAGTCCAAGGACACTGCCACAACGGAACCCCGCACCCCCTCAGACTCCGACACAGCTGGACACCACGATGTAGACATCGGTACACGTGGGACGGTAAGATGCCTGCACACGGGACGCAAAATGACCGGGATGTCCGGACAATCTGACACACGGCAGCCATGACACCATCACAGAATTGCTTGGTTTTGGTTTCCGTACAAATAGGATCAGGATGCGGACGAAAGCTGACCGGAGAAACAGCACATAAACCAAGACCGCCCTTAAGAGCACGTGGCCGCAACATGGGGTTTGTTGGAAATGTCAGTTTTTTGTTAGCGTTTAGGGTTTAGGGCCACCGCATCTCTCCCTGACACCAGGACACGATCTAAAGGTTCTGGAGCCAGATCTTGTGGCCTCCGCTGCCATCCTCTCACCGGGGACGCTTGGTTGTTTTGCTGGGCCTTAGAGGACGTTGTCGAGATTGAATTTTAACCCCCCGCATGCCGCAGTAATGGTATTGCAGTTTGCGATTTTGTGAATTTTCGTGTCACTGCGCTTCTGCGAAGTCTTCTATTTGTTCTGTTCGTCTATGTGTTATGTTCACCTATCGGCGGTCTCTCGAGGCTGTCAAACGTGCAGATGTTGCACCATTTCTCCGAATCTTGCCCATTGGCCAAGACATCACAAACCGACTGAAAGAATCAAGGGACTTCGGGATAGAAATACAGGGAACGCCTACAGGCGAGACCTCCTGGTGTCGTGGTTCATTGTCTGCCATCGTTGTCGCGGTCGTTATTTATTTCGAAGCGTTTGTCTGACACTCCCAAATCCAAAGGACCGGAGTCATCTGCGCGCACTCCGTGGTGTCGGCGCTCCTGGCCGAAGCTGAGGCAAGTGGCGCGGACTTCAGTTTCGGAAGCGATGTGGACGCTTGCAATTGAAATCTCTAGTAGTTGGTTTTGTTTTGAGCCCCAAAGTATATTTTTCGCAACCCAAAGCATCAGTTTAACGTACCGCACAACACAAGTAGCAGCTAGACACTGTGAAATGCAAAGCCCTGCCAAGCGAGAGTTGCACACCGGAGATTCTCTGCTCCTGCGCCATTCCGTTGAAGGTCTTAGGTTTAGACCTGTCAGTGCATCGCCAAGACATTCAGAGTTCTCACGGACAGCAGCTCTGGCAATGCAAGAGGAAAGGTAAAGCTTCGCGATCAGAGCACATGGCAAATGAGGTAGCAGCACAAGCAAGCAACACAATAACGAAGCGGGCAAGGATGTCCATTTGCATTGACACTGTCGTGAAGCGACGCAACTGGGTCGTCACCAGGGAGTTCTAATGGCTTGGCAACGCAAGTCAGTTGGAGCCTCGTAACCTGTGGGAAGACCGCATCATGATTTGGCAGCAATATACCGGCAGCCAAGGAGGATGTGAGTTGGGATGGCAACGCCTTCACTTTGACTTTCTCGGACGGCTTCAAGGTCACTTGTGACAAGCTGATCAATGCGGCGGGGCTTCACGCCGGTCAGCTCGCAGAGACTTTTGTAGAACCTCGTCTGCTACCGAAGCTTCTTGTCCAAAGCGTTCAACGCAGTATCGTCACCTTTTCTGGCCCCATCACCGGCAGACGTGAATAATCGCAACCAAGCCCCACATTGTACTAGTAGCAGTCGCCACCAGCAACACTGGCTGGGAGATCTTTGGCTTGTAAGTTGCCAGAACCCGGACAAGGCCCAAACTGGCAACTTGAAACCTCAGACCTTTCCCCAAACTCGGAGAAGGGATCCCACCAAAACATGCAACCAGGATCCGCCGGACCCCAAAGAAGATGACCCAGTCATAAGCTGCGTCTGATAACTTGCGAAGTTCGGAATCGTGACACCTAAGACTTCCCGAAACCCTGCTTTAAACACCTAAGCCCAGACCTTATTCAGGTTCCGTTTCTGCAAGGGCAACTATTTCAGACCGACGGTGCCGGTGCCGTTCCTGGGCTCATGTGCGAAAGTCTACATATGGTTCGGGGAGCTAGACGTCAGGGCTTGGGATTGGGCTTAATGGATCAGGGAGTATAGGATAGGAGTCCAGGATGGTGTGCAGATTTAGGTTTGCGCGTGCTTGCATGTGCCTGTGCGCCGGCATGTCAGTCTGGGGACTTTACTTGGCATTTGATGCTTCAATGTCTTCCACAGCTTTACGAGGTTCCACAGCCGTGGAGTTAGAGCTTGAAACTGAGGAATCGTTGACTTAAAGCCGGGAGGCCACCCCTGGGTTAACACTAAGCAGCCCTTCACCCTCGAACCTGGAAGCCTTGACCCTGAAGTCGTGAAGCCTTGAACGCGAGAAGCCTTGCACCTTTCAGCTTGAAAAACGTGGGTCAACAGGTTCCAGAGGCTCATCTATCCCCTCCCACCGCCATCTGGTGCCGGGCTGGGAACCCACTTGACCCTGGATGTGGAGGACCCAGCTTGCAGGGCAGGTTTCGGGTTGGTTTAAGGGCCGGTATGCTTGTTTTTGGAAGGCCAAGTATATCTCAATTGCCTATGCGGTTTGTTCCGGTTATTAGTTGTTTACACTGAGACACGTTCGGTGTCCTCGCCCACTAATAGTACTCACTACTACTACTACTACTACTACTACTACTACTACTACTACTACTACTACTACTATTACTACTACTACTACTACTACTACTACTACTACTACTACTACTACTACTACTACTACTACTACTCCTGCTACTACTACTACTACTGCTACTACTACTGCTACTGCTACTGCTACTGCTACTGCTACTGCTGCTGCTACTGCTACTGCTACTGCTACTGCTACGGCTACGGCTACGGCTACGGCTACTGCTACTGCTACTGCTACTGCTACTGCTACTGCTTCTGCTTCTGCTTCTGCTTCTACTGCTGTTACGAAAACGACCACGACCACGACTACCACCACTCACTGCTACTACCCATATCTCTACTTCTACTTGCGGTTTCTTCTCAACGACTACTACGACGTCCAAGAACGACTACTATAACTACTTGGACTATTACGACGAATAGGACGACGATGACGACGACTAGTACTTGTACTAGTACTACTACGACGACTACTACATTAACACTACTGAGAATAGGACTTGTGATAACAATAAGAATGCTCAGCCCCATGAGCGTCATCATCACCCTCCTCCTCCTCCTCCTCCTCCTCCTCCTCCGCCTCCTCCTCCTCCTCGTGACCATTATCATCACCCTCATCATCATGCACAGAACTCATGATCATCGTCATCATTGTCATCATCATCATCACCAGTTGCACCTTTCCCGTGCGCCTCCCCAGGGCGGAGGAGCCAAGTTCGGCCCAGACACGGAGTGGCTGCCGGATGACTATGCTCCTGTCAAGGATTGGGTTTAGGGCCTTCATGCCTTCATGGTCGTAGGGCTTTTGGAAGTTGAGCGTCTCATGCTTCCGGGATTAGGGCCTGAAGGATTACGAATTGGCATTGTTCGACGGATTTTGGGGTCCTGGGTTCTGAAGGCTTTGGGTCATGGTGGCGTTAGCGAAGAACTATGTGTTGAGATAGGGTGCTTGTGTAAGGTTGAAGTGCTTCGAATCCCAACATTCACAAATACGAGCTAGCACGTTGCGGGGTTTACTGTTGTAGGGTTGGCTCAAGAGCTCTCGGGCTCCTGGTAGTTTTGGAAACCGTTTGCAAGGTTTTCAATTTCAGAGTCCTGGGCAAGGGTTGGCATTTGCTGTTCTGGGGTTCTCAGCAGCTTTTCAGTTCGCCGCTTCGTATGGTCTAAAATCTACAGCTTCTGCAATGCTCAAGGATGCAGTGAGCAGCGCCCTTCTCCACATAAATCCTGAGTTCTAATTTGGCACACTGTACACTGGTGGTTCAAGGCCGAGTGATTCAAAGGCTTTCTGTTTTTCAGGTAATTCGACCGGCTCACAGGGCCAAAGTTGCGTTCAGTAGCCCTTTGATCCAAGCGCGTAGCCGTAACCAAGCAGGTATTTGGAGTCCAAGTTGCTTGTAGAGCCTTGAAACTTGAGCCTTGTGCCTTCCCCGGTGCAACCTTAAATCCGAGCCCCGATCGCAAAAGCTTACACCGTTAAGCCCTTGTTCCTGAAACCGTCAAATTTAAACCACAAGCCCCCCCAAGCCTTCATACTAGCCTTGAACATGCTGCGCAAAGAAGGACATGGACGGCTCCGGCGTTTACAATGTCGACGCCTCCCGTGCTGCATCCTTCGAGGACGGCTTGGATTGGTCTGGGTTTTTTGGTTTTCTTTTTGCAGCTCCCTCAAGATTGACCCCGAAGCCAAACCCCACATCGTTGTTAGGGAGATCCTGGTAATGCTTTCTACTTGCCGACTGCCCCTTCTCGCATGATTGCAGTTGGGCATTGAACTGTGTTGAGCTCTAGATATCTACAGATGAATACTGAACATTTCCCACCTGGAGTTTATGATGATTTTGAGTTTGGCCAGTGTTTCTGTAACCATTAGTTTTTGCTTTTTGCATGCTAGTAGCAACGTGATGAGTTTTGTCCACAATCAGCAAAGCAGGAAAGACAATGTCGAATGAGTTCCACTTGCGCTATTGGCGCACCGTTGCTAAAGCCAGGCTGTCGTTCATCTCAGAGGCAGCAGCTGGACAGCCTGTGAGTTGTATGAGAAATCGCTGAGGCAGAGCTGTGCGACAGAAACACCTACCTCGCATGGGCGAAGGGTTTTAGTTACTTTAGTTCCAAAATGTCAAGCAGAGCGCCACGAACAAGTTTGACACTTCGTCTTGAGGCACCTGAAACGGTGTAAATGGAACATGGATGAAGCTCAAAGTATCGCTGCCACAGGCGGTGTGACACATTTTCATACATGGTTCAGCTATCGGCAGGCTGCTCACAACCTTTTAGCTATGAAGATGTGTCTGAGAGGGCCATTACCTAATCGTGTTGATTTCTCGAGTCTCGCACTCATTGCACCCACGGCATTGTATTGTAGACCTTTGATTACTCCTTGATTACTATACACCCCTCCCTCAGCAAGCACTGCACAGCGCTTCCAAGCATAAGATCCTTGACAGTGGTTATTCATCAGGGGTCTACATTGCCGATCAAGACTCGTGTGAGCAGTAATAAAAACTTATAGCAACATTATCCAGCCTTTATCATCAGAATGATACTAGGACGAGGAGTAACCATCACAGCAACCAGCCGGAACGCTTCACGAAGGAGTCCATCCAGTGCTGGTGGCCGAGCCTTCCCTCGGGAAGCCTGGCGCCCGACTACTCAGGGCTCCGCGTCAAGGCACCGGCTTTAGGTCTGAGGGTTTAGGGTTATGTGAGGCTTCAAAAGTTTTTTGGTCGTGGTTTCAAGGTTTGAGCTCAAGTGCTGAGGTTTGACGTTTGGTTTCCGTAGGCAGGCTTTCTGTTTGCGTTGTGTTCAAGGCTTGCTGTCAGATGCTGTGCATACAGGGTTTCTATGTCACGGCTTAAACCCGAAAGGTCCCCAGCGAGCCCGATCAGGTCCCCAGCGGGGACTTCGAGATCACCAGCCACGGGATGGAGGGAGCCTCCAGCAATCATAGGTTCCACGGAGTCATCGTTTAAGCTTTGAGTTCCTCTGCAGCTGACTGGCCGATGTTGAACATGTGTTTCTTCCGTGGTTCCTACAGGCTACCACACTCCTCTTTTGATGCGTTACGTGGCCTCTCAGCGTGCCGTTGTGCGAGAAGAGGGCCAGAGCGAGAGCGCGAGTGAGAGAGATTGCGTGCGCACGTGTGTGTGTGCTTGTGTGGTGGGAGCTGACGGGTTTTGTAGTTTAGGGAATCCGCGCGAGTTTATCGCGGAACAATTGAGTCTTTAGGGCTCTGCATTGAAATGTCGCTTTGAAGCGCACGAACATCTGGAGTAAGTATGGACTCTCGGGTATTGGGGTAGTTCGGTTGTTTGTTATAGCCGCTCTCTCCGTTATATACTCCAATAAACCTTGTTCTTGATCCGCACATTCCCGAAAACACTCAATCACGTAGCATCCTCCCCAAAACCCAGCCCCGACGGTGAAAGAAACAACAACAAACAAAGACCTCAGCCGAGGATACTGTGGCCTCTACGGAATCGAATCGCCGGGTTTGACAAGCTCTCTGATGATTGCAGACCAAGTGCTGAGGGTGCTTGGCGTGCCAATCCCAGCAGAAGACTTCTGAGCATGTGAAAAATGTGTTATACCGCGGGGGTGACGCTCTAAATCCGGATTCGGACACTCTTCACTCGACCTGCTGTAGTGAACTACACATCGTGAAGTGAGTGGCTTAGAAGAACTCCGAACTAGGGCAATCATCACCGGCATGAGTTTCGGGAGTCTCTTGAACACTAAAAAGCCTTGACTCTAAATGTTCATGAATGTTCACACTCCATAACCTGCAAGCCCCGAGCCTGAACTATACACACATGCATACACATACATACATGCATACAGACACACAGATATACAGACATACTGGCATACATACAGACATACAGACATACAGACATACAGACACACAGACACACATACATACAGGCATACAGACAGACGGACATACAGACATACAGGCATACAGTACATACGTACATACATACATACGTACATGCATACATACATGCATAGTTACATACATACATACAAACATACAAACATACATACATACATACATACACACATACATACATACGCACACGCGCACATACACGCATATACATACAGCTACATACATACATAATCACATACATACAGGCAGACATACATACAAACATACAGGCAGGCGCACGGCACGGATGGACGGACAGATCGACAGATAGTAAAGTAGTCAGACACAAACACACACACACTCACAGATACACGGCATTGACACCACTCCTTTTGATGCCCACGCCAGTGTAGAACATCAAAACCTGCATGCTCATTCAGAGTTTCTCCAAGCCCTAAATCCGAACTGGCCTTACATTCGGATTTGCTGTGCCTGTCTGCAAGCTTGGCTTTTTCGCCAGGCGCAGGAGGATGAGTTGGCAACTTGCCTCAAAGCCGGGGAGATTGGGTTCTTGCTAAGGGGCTGATTTCTTAGGTTTTTTTTGGGTGGGGGGGGGGGGGGGGGGGGTGAAATTTTCATTTGTGGGGTTGCGCCATAAAAGGGTTTGACTGTCAATATGCTGTTTTCGATGGTCAATAAGCTTGAGTTGGTTGCCCGGAACCCAGGGCTTCAGCATTCATCTGGCCGGTCTTGAACATTAGGGGTCCAGTAGCCAAGATATTCCGTTTGTAACGGAGTCTTCGTTTGTGAATGGTCTTCTGGACCAGGTGTTTGGGCCCTGTGAGTTCGCATCTTACTGGTACCACGAGTTTTGAGCTGGATATGGGCGAAGAAGTGGCAGAATTGAGAAACTCCCTGTAGAATTAGCAGCACTCGCGACTGATACATACAGCCGCGAGGCTCGCTAAAATCCGAAATGCACCCGCCCTTTGCCGGGACTACTCCAGGCGACACACCCTGCAAAACAGCCTTTCGCCCAGGAGCGACCACCACCAGGTACCCGCTGCTTCAGCGATGGCCTGCGGACACTTCTGCAGGGCGAGGTGCAAAGCTTAAAATTTCAGGCATTGACAAGACAAGGCATCCTGAATCGTTTTTCTTTTGCCACCGGAGTTCGCTTCGTACAAAGCCTAGTGCAGTGTGCAGCAATCCTCCCCGAGCTGTGAGACCCCAAAGAAACCCTTCTGCACCAAATCAAACTCCACAGGGGGTTAATGCATAGGAAGTTGCTCGTGCAGGATCGGCCTTGGCAACAGGAACGAGTGGAACAGGTAAGGCACAGGGGGAGTGGAACGATCCACTCCCCCAGAACAGTGCGACCAAGAACGCGGGACAAGGAACTTCCGCGCCACTCAGGAGTAGAACAGACGAATTAGCGCCCCACCCCACCCGGCATTCTCCACATCTAAACGAAGTTCACATCCTGCCTTAGCTACGCCTAAACCCTGCATTCCGAATTCTCACCCCTCAGGCCCTGAGCCCTGAAATTCTGAAGCTCCGCCGAGGCTTCAGAGTCCGTCCTCGAGGCACTAAAGCAGCGCCGCGAGGAGGTGCGGAAGGCGCCGTCGTAGCTTCGGACCTCCGCGCCGAAACGAGAAGAATCAGATCGGTTTGTGTCACCTGGTCTGCTCGGGCTTAAGGTCCCAGAGCCTGGCTCGCCCTTCACATGCATAAGACTTGAGTCTTCAACCTTGATGACATGCCTCAAAGGGAAGCAGGGCCCAAACACCTCACCGGATCGGTGGCTTAGGTTCTGCGGATTGGAGATTAGGGATTAGGTCGGTAGCGCTTGGGGCTTTTGGGGTTATCTTGCATTGAGGGTCATGGATAAAGCCATCGAAACCCTCCAACCCAGAGAGCCCTGAAGAAAGCCCTCAGCTTTGGCCCGTGCGCCAGCAAGGAATTGGTGATCTAACTGCATACTTTTTTTTGCAAGGAATTTGTTTTCTCTGAATGAGACGTCGTGGTTTGGGGTTCAGTAGCAAACCAAGCTTCCAGTCGTCTAGCCCTCATACCTCGGCCGGCCCCTTAAATCCTTCGCATGGCCATAGGGTTCCAATCCAAAAACGCTTCCATGAAATCCGAACCCTCACTGAACCGAAAACCTGAAACCCGAGCTTCAACCTTGACACTCTACAAAAAAGAGCCAAGCCCTTCACACTCTACAAAGAAAGAGCCAAGCCCTGAACCTCTAAACCCTGACCGGAGCTCCAACAAATTCCAAGCCAAACCCTTCTTGCTTGTTTACCCACATCCGAAGGATGTTGAAGCCGCTGCTGTTCGGTGGGGGCAGGTGGCTTGGCGCGTAGGGACAAGTCCACAACCCTTCAGGCCGAAACCACGCAGCCTCAACCCCCAAAAATGGGCTCCGATGGCTTACACTGCTCCTTTTTGACCCAGCTGTGCCGGTCCGAGTTGTGATCGGAGCTGGGCTGGAGGCCTTAGCTTCACAGTGTTTTGGGTTGGGGTGGGGTGTTTCATCAACCCAGACCCAGGCGTATGTTGGCTTGGCTCTTGCAGACATTGGGCTATTCCACCCAGCCCAACCCTTGCAGCCTGAGACCTGTAATTTGGTATTGGTTTGGAGCAAAAGCGCTGTCGTATGTTTGCATCAGGTCCTGGGCTCGGTCGTAGGCACGCTGCAGAAGTCTTGATCCAGCACGGAGCGAAGCGGATTTGAGGTAGGGCTTTAGGGCCTGAAGCACTCAGGCTCTCAACGGCACAAGATGCATTTACACACGACTCCCAAGATTCCCAGAACCCGGTGGGGTGCTCTCCGCTAGGACGGACCAATTACTAGTTTCACTCCTACGCCGCCTTTCTTAACCGCAAGGCCGCCGACGCTCGCCTGAGGACGCCATGCGATGCGCAGCAATTGCCATGTTCGGGGGTCTAATTCCGAAAGCTTTTGCAAAGCCATCAAAAACTTGGTCCCGGTCCTTGCAACCGAAGTTCTATATCCCCAGACCTCTGGAAAGCAAAAGGTCTTCCGAGTTAACAGGTTCGGAGTTCGTCAAAAGTCTATTGCTGAATTATTGTATACAAGATTGGTCAATGGCTTCCGGGCTGGAGGTTTGGGAGAATGATGAGCACGGAATTTTTCCCGTAAGACAACGACAGACGTCCGGATCCAACATGCTACACGCCGAGACCCGAACCAGCTGGGTGTACTGCTTGTGGATGACTGTGTGGTGTTCTCCGCTGCTAGGTGACGGTGACGTATATTGTTTTTCTTGTGCGGTGATCGCCGCGGGGGCGCAAGCAATGCTCGGCTTCGTGTGGGCACGTGCTACCGCAGCATCACCTAGCGTGCGCAGCTATAGCTGCATAGGTGATCAACCCATACTGCTTTCAGTGAGAGCTCCTTCAATTCCACGACCACATGACGAGTTCAGGGTTAGTCTTGCACGATTTTGCCAGGTTCGACTGCTTGTGGTTTAGGAGGCTTCATGTAGCCTGCGACAGAACGTACTGAACGCAACCACGAAACCCTAAAACCCTAAGCCTCGGGACCTGACAACCTTGCCGGGGACCTCGAAACCCATTTCCCAAATCACATCCTAACTACGCCTAGCTCGATTGTCTCCTGAACGGCAGGAGTGCCTGCGCGGAGCCAGTTCCGAGTTTCCCTGGGCGCCTCTCCTCAGCGGCTGCCCTGCTGGAGGCGTTTTCTCGGTTTTCGTTGCGGGGTGTTTCGGAATGCCTGAGAGGTTGTGTTCCAGGCGTGGGTGTGGAATCGTGGGTGCAGCTTTGATTGGGGTCCGAGGTTTTAGGACGTAATTGCAGAAGAACCGTGGATTTCAGTCTGTTGAGGTGTAGCCGGGAGTTTGGTGGCGATCTCAGCTTGCTTAACACCCTTTTCGAACCCAAGGCCTTCACCAGGAGTCATGGAAGCCGAGGTTGAAACCCTGAAGCAACCCGCTTGAGCTCCGCTGGCAGGCCTGAACTTCACTCAAAGTCTTATCAAAACTCAGAGTCTCCGTCGTGTACGGACAGGCCGAGGCACCCTAGACTACCAGGCACAAGGTCAGTGCGATGGATGATTGAGTTTAGGAGAAACTCCAAACGCCTAAACCCCTGCAGCCTTAGCCTCAAGCAAATCCCGAGAGAAGCCTGCAAAGCCTCGTTCTCAACTCGTTGAAACTTCTGGAAATCCAACGAACCCTGCGGAAAGCTTGAACAGTCTTTGCATGTTGCTTTGAGGAGCATCGCGCCGCAACAGGCGGCGCCCTAAAAGGCGGAGCGCACATCCCTCTTTGCAATCGCTTCAAAACTCCAAGGCCTCAAACGCTGCAAGATCTACAGCGACATATACCTCAATAAAGGTATCAAACTCGCACCTGAATCCCTGAAACAAGGCTTAAGGATACTTTTCTGTCAAGAGGGACAGGGTTTATTGGGGTTGCTGTATATAAGGGTTCACGAACGCCGGCATGCTTAACGGTTTGGGCCTGGGTTCAGAGTTTGCAAGCATCGTAAACTGCAGCCTGCCGGGCCTGATGCACAAACTGGACGACCAGTAGATTCCTTCCGGAGCTATTATGAGCCCATGTGAAAGCAAACTTAGGCGACAGCAACACCCAGCAAGGACTACCGTGCCCGACACGACCTAAAAGAGCTAGACATACATGTACCAATACTACTACGCTCCATAGCATCCGTGCAGACGCCTTCATGAGATCATTGGGAACAATCCCAAACCCAAAACTCCAAGCTCAAACACCCAAATGCGCAAGCCTTTATCCCAGTCCTCCGAATCCCACGCCAAGGGACCCAACAACCAATCATGAATTTCAAGAGCCAAATTAAAAACCCCGCCCAAAACCCAAAACCCTGCTCTTAAACCTTAAAGCCCTCAACCTCACCCAAATCCCTGAACCCGTGAAGTGCCAAGCCCAGTCCAAAGGCGTCTTCGATCGGCTGCAGGGCTTTCAGCGGCTCTTGGCACGTCGGCGATGCCTTGAAGACCGGCTGTTTGGCGGGCTCAGGGCTTACGGCGTTTATGATTTCCTTTGCGGCTTCCAGACTTTGAGGGTTCAGGGCTTTCTGGGATAACAGGTTTCAGGGTTTGAGTGTTTGGGAGTCTATGGCCTTGAAGTCATATATGGTCCCAGAGCATTGGGTTCACAATTACTGGGGTCTTGGCCCAAGGAACGCGCGTGTTTTTGTTCAAGAGCGTTCGCTCTTTGCAATGTTCTTCGAAGATGTTGTCTCGGATGTTGAGATACTCGTATAGGGACCTGAATGCTCAGCAACCGGATTCGGTAACGGTGCCCGAACATAGTTATATTGTAATCCACCACCGGAACCCTAGTATAATCACTCAGGTCCTCCCATCTCATGCATGGATCTCGCGGGTTTTAAAGGGTTTCAACAGTGGGGCATGCTCTCAACTGCTAAAGACCACTGTGTCTGGCCTAGTTTCTTGTTTATTGTTGTTTGGAGACCTTCGCTTAAATTTCAATGGCGCCATCACTCTCACTAGGTTCCTCGGTAGTACCGTTCTACCCCTTCTATTTCGGGGTCTCCGTATGAATATGTGACGATCTGCAAAAGGGCAGGCATCCTTGTCATCACGGGGCTCTCGGGGAAAAGTACACTGCCCCAAGCCCCAAATTTTGTCAGTCCGCGGTGCAGGACATAGTTTCCATGGTGAAGAAGACGGATGCAGCAACTGGGGCCTGACATCTGCTTGAGCCTTGTGGCTTTAGGGTTTAGGGTGTGGGGATGCTAGAGAGAAGTCTCCTCGGGTGTTCCACAGGGCTCGCTCCGAAGCCTGTGCAGATCTTGGGGGTTTTGGGCTTTTGGAGTCTAGAGTTTGATTCCGATTTCGGTCTGTGAATCCTTAATCGTCAGCCCCTATATCATATTCTGCACCCAAAACACTTGCGAACCCGACACACTCTGGGCCCTCGGATGATAGTGTCGTGTTGGGGTGGGCAGGTCTGCTGATAAACACGCACTCACAAGGCAACGAGAAGCTGCTGTGTCCTCCGAAGAAGTAGAAGGTACTTCGTCGTGCGTTCTTCGTCACTTGTCTTTCGTACAGACTTGCAAACCTGACGACCTTGGTTTCACAAGCATGCCCCGTTCTCAGACCCCGCGACCCACACCATAACCTTAATCCCTTGATGCTCAACTCTCGCGCCTGGGCGTCAAACCTCAAACCCATCCGCTGGATCTCAACGCACAAAGCCCAAGTTTCAATCCTGCACGCAGGCTCGCAGAACCTCTTACATGGAAACAGGTGAAGTCTCGGAGCATTTAGTTAAGCCTTAAACTCTACATTCCATTATCGATGATATACTGTACCACTTTTGACAATGTCTTATGTTTTCACTCACATACAAGATCAGGATATCGTATCAGATCATTGAAGGTGCGGGAGGCGGTGTTTGCCTGCCGGCCGGCGGAGGAGTTGCCGGTCGCCGAGATGGCAGAGGCGGCTGTTTTTTGTCGGTGTTGAGAGGTTTCTATCAGTTTAGACGTTCACGGGCAAAGGGCCTAGGGTCTCAACAGCTTGCAGTTCAGAGGGCTTTGACTGTCGAGGGGAGTTAAGAGGCATTCTTCCTGTTTTTTTTTCTCAGGGTCTTTGTCGTGTTGCGAAACCTTTGTGAAGGTTCCGCTGTTGATGCGTATCTTCCTTTGTTCGGATTCTGAATGACCTTATACGAGGTCACTATGCCCGCCCGTTCACAATCGGAGTGTGAGGTCGTTTAGGGACGCACGCCGGAACCGCACCTAGCATCACTGCACAGTTCCCATCAAGGACTGTGCCTGCAAGCTTGAATTCCGCAGCATGCGTAGCGTTGACCTAGCGCCTGGTCACTACGCCCACCCCGTCGCATGAAGCAGACCGAGGGGCAGGGTAAGGACGCAGGCAAGGTCTGTCAGGGGCTGCAGCTCTCATGTCGCCCGAAACTTTTGCATTCTCAGGGCTGCAGGGGTTTGGGTACGTCGTAATATGAATGACACGCAGTTGCAGCCGCTCTTCGTGCCAAGAATAAGGGTCTCATGTATGGTCTCAGATTTTACGGTCGTGTGCAGTTGATTTTTCAGCTTCTGCCCGTTGAATCCCGTTGAGGTGGTGACGTTGTGCTCGCGGCTTCCGTCGAGGAGCAGGCCCGAAGAAGATCATCAACACAACACGCCGTAAGTCCGTCTTAAACTCGTGAGAGGCCTAACAAAGATTCTCAAGGCCCAGACCCTGAAACCCAAAAGAAAAAAGAACACTTCCTCGAGATCCTGGAACGCTGAAACTAGACCCTTAGCGGCCCTAGCGTAGAGCCTACCCTTTCAGGGCCGTCGGAGTGAAGCGTGCGCGCTTCCTTACGGAGCCCTTGCGCTCCGCTCTCTCCCAGGCGCTGGATGTAGTTGCCAATCTTGCCAGCATTTTCCGGGTGGTGCTGATGATGATGATGATGATGATGACGACGTTAATGCTGATGCGAGGCTGAGGGGAGGGGTTGGTGCTGATAACTGTTGGTGCTGTTGGCGGTGGTGATGGTGATATGATGATGATGATGATGGTGATTGTGATAGGATGCTGCTGGAGGTAGTGATGTGGCGGCGGTGGCCGCGGCGGCACGATTTCTTGTGTCGTCAGCCCATTACAAACCAGCTACACAAGCCACGAGGGAACAAATCCCGGCTTGGACCTGACGCCAAAGAGCACCCAAACTCGAAATCGACAGACTAATCCCGAGCCTACTTGCTGTCTCTAGGGTTGCGAGCTGTCGGACTCCACGACTTCTGATCCTTGACCTCTCGTCCTTGCATGATTCCGAAACCCGTCCCCAGGCGCTCCTGTCCGCGCTGCGGGAGACAGGTACTTGGCCAAAGGCGCCCCCTGTGTGACATGATGCATCCTACCTCTCACCGATTCTTTTTGTGTGCTGCTGCTGCTGCTGTTGATTCGAGCAGTACTTTGATTTGGTTTGGTGCGTTTATCTTGCAATGGTGGTGATTGGGTGTTGCTGCTGCAGCTGCTGGCTGGTAGCTGGTAGCTGGTCGCTGGTGTGGTAGTGGTGGTGGGGGCACTAGTTCAAGTACTAGAAGGGGTACTTGTACTGGTTCTAAAGCTGGTGCTAGTTGTTAGCAGGTAGCATCTAGCAGCAGTGGTTATACAGTGGTTTGTAGTTTTCAGTCAGCTGTTAGTAGATATATAGGTATATTCAGCAGTTAGTACACAGTACTCAGGAGCTAGGAGTCATGTTTGGAGTTTTCTTGCTCAGTATTAGTAGATAGCTAGTAGTTGGTTTCAGTAGTCGGTAGTCAGTAGTCAGAGCTAGTGGGTTGCAGCGGTAGCGGCAGCTGCAGTTGCAGTGGCAGACTAGTGTAGTAGTTGCAGTGTAGCAGTGGTGATAGTGGTAGTGGTGGCGATAACGGTAGTAGTGGTATTAGTAGTGGCAGCAGTGGCAGCAGTGGTAGGTAGTAGTGGCAGTAGTCGTAGTAGTCGTAGTCGCAGTCGTAGTGGTAGTCGCAGTGGCAGTCGTAGTGGTAGTCGTTGTTCAGCAGCAGCACCAGGAAGACGAGGAGTAGAAGTAGGCAGTGGCAGTGGTGGCAGTAGTGGTAGTAGCAGTCGCAGCAGTAGCAGTAGCCGCAGTAGTCGCAGTCCCAGTCAGCAGCAGCAGCTGCAGCAGCAGCAGTAGCAGTAGCAGTAGCAGTAGCAGTAGCAGGAGCAGGAGCAGGAGCAGCAGGAGCAGTAGTAGTAGTAGCAGGAGTAGTAGCAGTAGCAGTAGCAGTAGCAGTAGCAGTAGTAGTAGTAGTAGCAGTAGCAGTAGCAGTAGTAGTAGTAGTAGTAGTAGTAGTAGTAGTAGTAGTAGTAGTAGTAGTAGTAGTAGTAGTACTGGTAGTAGTAGTAGCAGCAGCAGTAGTAGCAGAAGTAGTAGTAGTAGTAGTAGTAGTAGTAGTAGTAGTAGTAGTAGTAGTAGTAGTAGTGGTAGTACTAGATATAGGAACAGCAGCTGCGTGCACAACACGCCAGCCGTCAGCATCAACACGCTGTCCAGTAGCAGCAGCAGCAGCAGGAGGAGGAGGAGTAGTAGTAGCAGTAGTAGTAGTAGTAGTAGCAGAAGCAGCAACAGCAGTAGCAGAAGCACAAGCACCAGCACTAGTACTAGCGCTAGCAGTAGCAGTACCTATAGTTGTACTTGGTAGTAACCGTAGTAGTAGTAGTAGTAGTAGTAGTAGTAGTAGTAGTAGTAGTAGTAGTAGTAGTAGTAGTAGTAGTAGTAGTAGTAGTCAGTAGTCGTAGTAGTCGTAGTCGTAGTCGTAGTCGTAGTCGTAGTCGTAGTCGTAGTCGTAGTAGTGGTAGTTGTAGTAGTAGTAGTAGCAGCAGTAGTAGTCGTGCAGCAGTAGAAGTAGCAGTAGCAGTAGCAGTAGCAGTAGCAGTAGTAGTAGTAGTAGTAGTAGTAGTAGTAGTAGTAGTAGTAGTAGTAGCAGTCGTCGTAGTGGTAGTAGATATAGGTCCAGCAGCCACGCACACAACACACCAGCTGTTAGTAGTAGTAGTAGTAGTAGTAGTAGTAGTAGTAGTAGTAGTAGTAATAATAATAGTAGTAGTAGTCGCCGCCGCCGCCGTCGTGTAGTGGTAGCAGTAGCAGTGGCAGTAGCAGTAGCAGTAGCAGTAGCAGTAGCAGCAGCAGCAGCAGCAGCAGCAGCAGCAGCAGCAGCAGCAGCCGTAGCAGTAGAAGTAGTAGCAGCAGAAATAATACTGATAATATTACTAGTTATAGTACCAGCAGCCCCGCACACAACACGCGAGCCGTCAGCATCAGCATGCTGTCCACATCTGCGAGGCCATTTAACAAAGCCTTCAAACAGCGCATAATAGTAAAGATGGAGAGAGAGGGCAACGAAGCACTATAAGTTGCAAAGGAGCCGGGAACGTCTGTGCAGCCAGGCCTGTGGCAGTTGCTTTCAGTCGTTGGTCTTGTTAAGGTTTCGGGCTTGCGGGGTCGGTTGCTGTGTTGTTGCTTGGATTTAGAGGATCCGAATGGTTTTGAGAAGGTTTGATCGGTCTCAGAAAACATTTGCAGTGTCGTCGACTGGTGAGTGGATTTAGAGTTATCACTAATGGTTGGGTGCTTCATGTCTGAAGCGTTGACGGTACAGACTATGCAATTGCTTCGAGGTCTGGATCGTCCCGCAGAAAACATGTGACTGTTGCGGCTTCAGGGTTCGCTTTAAAAGAGGCTAGTATGGAGGGGGAGGCCCATTCCCGAGTTCGGAATCGGCCAGGATGGAGGGATTTGCTTTGCGAGTTTCGGGGCAGTTGTGCAAGACACAAAGGCATGCTGAATGGTGGCAGGATACGCGACACAGCTGTAGGGACCAGCATCAGGTACAGCGGCATGGTGGTGAGTCACAGCCGGCTTCCTCCTAAACATGGTCCTAGAGCTATCAGCATGATTGAGTCCTTGTTTGCAGCAGCAGCAGCAGCGTGTGGCAATGGCTCCTGTCCAAAACTCAACCCTCAGGCATAAATAAGGAAGGGTTCTGAATCTTGCAGGTAGCAACGCTATCGGCTACGTTGAAGTAGCGAAAGTCCGAACAACAGAACGGCACAGTTGAACAGTCCTTTCCGATTAACACGTTCGAAGACCTGCTATACCTTCTATCGTATCACGGAGCACATCTCAAGCCCCGAAGCTAAACGCGAGCACTTGTGACTTTAAGCCCCAACTTGAGAGCCATGAAGCCCCTAATCGAACTCTCCTTTGTTATGCGACGCCCTGTAAAGCCAGATTTCCAACCCCGAAGCTTGTGCAGGCGGGGACGCCAGGGAGAAAGTTTTGCGCCTTTGTCGCCGCCTTTCTCAGCTCCAGGCACCCGGGATTGCGGTACAAGTAGTATCAAGGGTCATACAGGCATGTCAGCGGTTGAGCAGCAATGTCTGCATCGAAGTGTGGGGATGCTGTTCTGCTTGCGAAGACTTTAAGGTGAATCGTGTAGCGTGCATATTGGATAGGCAGGCTCATCAAAGCAGTGTAGCCATTGGCTGAACAGCGTATGTTACAGGCAACCAGTTCAAGGTCACCTTATTTCGGTGCAGAGAGCTCCAGCAATGGCAGGATGTTCTGGAAGCCGGCTCATTCCAAGCTTTTGCGTATTCAACCTAGTTTCCCCCAACGCTACACTGCTACACCATACGCAAAGACAGGAGTCCTGTGAGAGCACTCAAACCTTCACTCTGCATAAGCTCGGCGTGGCCTATCGGAATGTGGGTGTAGCATGCTCTTCTATGCTCTTGTGGTGATCGTAGACTCTAATTCCGAACCCTGCTCTCAGTCCTACACCCTTGATGCACAGGTCCGTTATCCACGACAGAGAATTCCACAACACAAGCGTGAACAAGCCCGCACGACAGACCCTGCAGGAATCGGCGAGAGATCTTCGGCAGCTGGAAGGTGTGGCATGTCGGGTTTCGGGGTCATCAGATTCGCGTGTCAACACCCTACATCCACATCCAAGCCCCACGAATGAAGCCTATGACTATGAGGTTGAGTGCTCACGGTTCAACTCAGGGCTCAGGGGTTGGAGTGGCTTGTAATTATTCTGGGCATCAGTCTGAAGCCAAAGAATCAAGTCCGAGGCACTATTTCTGTCTGATGAAAGCTTTATCCGCCTCGTTGCATCTCCTGATGGAGAGTGTAAGACTTATCCACAGCCCTGCCGAACTCGCTCTAGATGGAAATTCGGAGGACACCGAATCCAAATTGAACCGTAGAGCCGGACCACTGAGGCCCAATTGAACCTCTCAGCCCTGATCTCCTCGAAAGTCCCGGCAGGATCCGAGCTATCACCGGCAGAGGCTCCGGGGTTGGTGCGTTTTGAGCCGCTTCTTGCAAAGTGTAGAAGCTCCGAACATGTCAAGCTTTCAACATCGTTGTCCTTGTTGCTACAGAACCAGCCGATGGAGATGCCTCCTACACTGCATTCCCGACAGAGCCATGGTGAAAAAGAGTTAGCAATCCCCGTGCAAGCGTTGCAACAACCCTATCGAAAACTGAAACGCTACTGCCCAAGAAGCAACTGAACCCTGAACCTTGTAAGAGGACAGTGTGTCCTGGCCGTGCCAAGCACTGGCCACCCCTTTGGTGGCCCGGTTCCGACACCACTTCTGTCGGCCAGACAGTGTGGCTCGGCTTCTGAGAAGGTTCGGTTTGGAGCACACTTTTTGGTGCTATTCCGATTCTGGGACATAGTTAGCCGTGCTACAGTTTGACGGCTTCAGGGATAACAAGATTGGCTGAGCTATAGGGTTCCATTCGGCTTCAGAGTGTCCTGCACGGTTTCATCAATAGAAAGGAGCAGGCTGTTTGGGATTGTCCAGAAGTGTTTCTAGCTCTTCCATTTTATAAGGGTGCTGCTGGCATCAACTGTGAACGGGCGCCCCCCTGTGCTGACCCGGCTTTCTGTGTTTTGTCGTTTTTACATCTCCGGACTTGTGTGGCTTATTTTTCCTAAGCCCGATAAGCGCGTCAGGCCTTTTGGCCAGGGTGGGGTGCTGAATCGTTATCTCAAGCAACTTGGGACAAGAATGCCACCCGAAAGCTGACGCTTCAGAGCCGCAGGCAGACCATAAGGCGTTCAAAAGACCTTTGCCGTTTGCTGCCTGGGGTCGAGGCATGGCCTTCAAACTAGCAGAGAACAATGAATGAAGGTGCTTGTGCATAAATTTTCTTCAAAGTGGAAACTTGCTTCAAGCATCCAAACCTGGGCGGATATTCTCTGAGTAGTAGCTGGGCCCTCAATTGAGCCTGTACCCCAGTCACCTTGTCCCTGAACTCTTAAACTGGATTCATGCTTTCTTACGGGCTTACGTTCGTGTTCGTGGTGGATAACTTCTCGAAGCTGTTCTAAACCCAGAGGCCTCAGAGGTTCTCTCACACCCCAAAGAGGACAGAAGCAGAGCACACCCTAAAGCCCCAATGAGTTAGGAGTTTCATAAGACGAATAGCACGATCCGTAGCGTAAGGACACCAAAACACGGATCACTGATTGTCAGAACCCACCCACTGACTAGGCCCATCCCTAGCCTATGAAGGAGCTCTGCCGCACTGACAAGCCTGAGTGGGCTTTTCGGTACCTGATGCTCGGACTCCAACGAATACGTCTGATTGACAACAGCCCCAACAAGGGAGCCTGAACATTTCGGAATAGTTCGCTGTGATCCCTGCATGAGCGTGGTAGCGCAGACAACGGGGGTTTCAGTTTGTGGCTGGAAGTGTGGCACCGTACAAGCTGATTCGAGACGTGTAACATCTAGGCTTTAAGCTTCGAGCGGGTTCAAGCAAGCATACGAAATCCGAGAAAAATGAATCGGACAGCAACCCTGTGAAGACCCCCAGATGCCCTACAAGAGATCACGGGTCAACCTTCAGTCACCAATATATCCTGCATAGTAGTCATTCCTAAAACCATCCCAAACCTCAAGCTTAGTCTCCTGGGTAAAGGCTTACAAGGCCAACCAAGCCTCGACAGGCAACGAACCTGCAAGCAACCACCCTCTAAGACCTGGGCAACATCCTCAGAGCACACGCACCCAAAACAACTCAGAATATTACTGGTAAATGCTGCACACAACCCTCTTACTCGTACATACTTCAATCCATTCTGGCAGAGTACTAGTGAATAAAAAAACCAAGCCTTCCATCACATTGCGATTTAAGTGGAGACTAGTGGGAAATCATGAGGTATGACGAATCTCATGATGATGGTGCTAGTCAAGGTTAATACGGAAATTTTCGCATGCAAGGCAAGCCGAATATGAAAACAGACTGGTATGTTGCTCCCTGACATCTAAGGCGAAGGGGCACAAGCTTTGTATGGAATGTACTGTATTCGTATCCCAAAGATTATGTCTACTAGTTGTCCTTGACATCTGACCTACAAATCAGACGGGTTGTCGGATTCGCCTTACTACGAGCAAAGCATGCCTCTTTCATGCTACATGAAAAGCTTCAGGGAGACCCCAATAGCTTTACTAGCTTACCTGAATGTCAACCCTAGAGGCGAAACGCCACCTGTTAGTGACTCCTAAAGGCAACGACATTGGTGTCTTGTTGATTCCCTTCATACCGAATCTAATCTAATTGAAATATGAATCTAGAAAACAACCCTGATCTCACCTTTAGCCGTACTATTACCCTTGGTAGGAAACCGCATACTACCTTCAAGGTCGGAAACCACATACTACCTTCAATAAGAAATACTGGTGGTGAGCAGCACGTTTCCTTCAGCAGTCCTTTCTGCATGGCTCCCTTAATCTCACCACAGCTTTTGAATCGAATGCTGGTATTGACAGTCCTGGCATTGTTACCTACTGCTGAGGTTGATACCCCACGCCAACGTTCTCACACGATATATGTATAGTATGTATGTACCTGTTTATGTATGTATGTACGTATGTACGTTTGTGTGTGTGTATGCTCGTTAAACTGCTCTACCTTACCTTCATGCTGTTATAGTAGCATATTGTTTCCGCGGTGTCCGTACTGTAAAATCCCGAGGGTTGAGATGGCAAGCGACCACGCAACCGAGCTCGAGGGGCACAGGGCTCAGAATGAGGTGTGGAGTAGGGCTTCGGGTGTTGGGGTTTCGGCTGCAAGATATTAGGGCTTTGTGTTTATGTTTTTGTAGCAGGAACAGTCGTAAGAAGAGTGGTTTTGTGACACGAGGAGTGGTTAGTTGTAGTGGTTTTCATGCATACTATGCAGTAGGTGTGGTGACATAGTTGCGGTTCAGGTCTTTTGGTTGTAGCTGTTCGCGGTTCAAGTTTGTGGGTCGCCGGGGGCCGTGGCATGATCAACCATGTATGTCTCTATGTGGTGGGCTGTGGCTGTTCTGTGGTTCATGGAGACTCCATACGTTTGGAAGGTCTCTGGAACGAGTTTCGGCTTTCAGACGTCTGCAGCATCTATGTGTGTGTGTATGTACGCATTATTCCTATATCTATATCTCTATCTCTATCTGTCTCTCTATCTATACCTATCTGGAGAGAGAGGCATAGAGAAACATACATATGCACATACATACACATATGTGACTATGCTTGGCTCATGCATGCCTAGACACAGGTGAGTCAGGTGGGTAAATCGGTAAGCAGATAGACCTCGACATGTAGGGTCGTAGATAGACAGATAGATAGATCCGTAGACGGATGGACGAATGGACAGATGGACAGAGAGTGAGAGAGAGAGAGAGAGAGAGAGAGAGAGAGAGAGAGAGAGAGACGTACGGACAGACAAGCAGGCAGGCAGGCTGACAGCCAGCTATCAGATAGACAGATAGGAACAAAGATAGACTCATGCCTACAGGGCCTACATGAACGTGGATGGCTGGAAAGATGGATGAATCGACCACAGGACTGGTTTATGCGAGTGCGCGCATGCACTACCTTTATATGTACGCGTGTATATGCAGTGTACATATATAGAGGTACATGTGCATATAGATTTCATACATATACATATACACATGTTTGTCTCCGTGTGCGTCTGTGTGTATTATACGAACGGAGGAGTAGATGTGCTAAGTCCTTCATCATGTAGCCCGGAAGCCACTCCGACGTCAAAGTCATTACCCCCCAAAGCAAAAAATGAATTCCGAACCCTACACTTGCACCCTCAACCCGAAGCCCTAACTCCCCATCGGCTCCGCTCAAGGCCCCTAAAAACCTGAAGTTCTGAGCTTGCTCGCAAAGGTGGTTGGCGCAGCTCCGTGCGGAAGATTGTCGATCGATGGTTGCAGGATCTCAGGGCTGAATGGTTTGGGCGTTGGGGTTTAGGGCTCAAGGATTAGGGTTGGGAATTGAGGACTTGTGGCTTGTGGGGGGGCGTTTAGCAGTTGTTTCACACTTGTAGCATGCCGTGTTCCCTGCGGCAGAGTTTCGGGTCCAGGCGTTATGATGCTTCTTATAAATAGCAGACACCCTTAGAGCGAGCAACTTGGCGTTTTCGGGCTGGCGGCTCTGAAACTTGTGTGAAGCAAGTTGAATCCAAACACTCCGAGATGCCCCACCTATATACTGTTTCCCTTGCACTTGGGATACAGTTTCGAGTGTAAGAAACCCCAACACACGCCTCTCTTTCTGTTTATTCAACTCTATGAAACCCTAAACCCTAAAACTGCAGAGGCCTCGTGGCGGCGCTCGCCACAGAGGGCCGGCGCTTCGTGGCCGGGAGGCTGCGGGCCCTGTCCGAGGCTGGAGTCGGGAGGTGAAGGGGCTCTGGGCCCTGCTGGGCTGTACCACGTCTTGGGTATAGGACCGTTTGTAAGGTGCCAGAGGGTTACGTTTTCAGAATCCTTGTTCAAGGCTTGGGCGGTGAAACCGTGGTAGTCGAGTAGTCACGGCACCAGTGCAGCAATTGGCAAGAACAGCAGCAGCAGTAGTAGTTGCAGTAGTGTCAGTAGGAGCAGTAGGAGTAGTGGGAGTAGCAGTAGTCCGTACTCGTAGTGGCTGCTGAGCGGAGGGATTACCCGTTCTCCAGACTCAAAAGACCGCAAACCTGAAGGGACGAGCGAAATGCCAACCCTCTGAAGCTTGAACCCCATTTAAGAGCTCAGACACCAAAGTCTAACCCGAAAAGTCCGAAGCTATAAACAAATTCCCTTGTTCTGCATCAGATCTGCCTGAGCTTCTGAGGACGAGGTGGCGAAGCCTTGGTTGCTGCAGAGCCACGTCATGCAGCTGGAGATCATGTGGGAGTTTCCGAATATTCGGGGTACCTTATTTTGGGGTCCTTATAATAAGGATCCTATTCTTTAGGGTACTATATTAGGGTCCCTTGTTTTCGGAAACTCCCATGTGATATAGGTTTTGGGTTTTGGGCCTACTGCGCGGTAAGTCGGGAACCCAGGGTTGCCGGGTCGGAGTTTCGGAGAACAAACGGTGTTGAGGGTTTATCAAGAGGCTTTCTGCCTGTTTGATTAGTTTATTAGTTTACCAAAAGAACGAAAGCCGGGGTTTGCAATACAAGCTGCCAAGGAAGGGCAGGAATGCTAGTCAGAAGCACAGCAAGAGGGTTTTTCCAGTATGGTAACAGAGCCATCATCGTGGTCTTGAGCTGGTGCTGATGATTATGGTTTTGATGATGACTCGAATCGTACGCAGCAGTGCTAATTTGAAGCTTCATCGTTCGACCATCGTACAGGCAGCCATATACATACAGATCTGCTCGACGCCCAAGCCGGAGGGGAACCCCAAAAAGAAACATCATCCTAAACCGTCAACATTGCACCCAGGACCCTCCACCAGCTCGTTCGATTTCACAGCGCTCTGGTTGGCCTCGGGGGCACAGCAGCCGCCCAAGCGCTGATGGCAGACTTCGATGGTAACGTGCTCCTGGCACCAGGTGCCGTCCTTCAGGGGTTCACTGACACTGAGGCTCTTACCAGCACTGTCCGCTTTTCCAAGACCGACACCATCTGCCAGTACTGACATTTGGAACCTGGGGGATATGAAATCGGGTTGCAGCTGTTCAAAGGAGACTCTGAAATGGCCCAAGCTCGGCCCTGAACCCAGAATCCGCCGGAATCCTAAAACCTTACCTTGCTTGCACACCCTATGCTGCATGCACCGATACTGTTTAAGAAATCAACGGAGCCCTGAACCGCAAGCACACTTGAACGGGATTCAAGCAGGCGAGCCTTCGGAAGAGCCGGGCGACTCACCGTCGGAGCCTGCGCAACGCGGCGCCCTGGCTGAAGGAGATCTGCAGGGTTTGCATTCGCCCCTGTGAGTTGGAGTATGCATATGGGTATGTATATACATATTCATGTGCACATACGGTCAGATACATATGCCAACACATGTACGTCCGTACACATACGTACATGTACATGCATAAACATAAATACATATTTATACATGTACATACACATACACCTGCACACACGTAACCTTATACGTACACATACACACATACACATATGCATACGCATACACATACGCATACACATACACATACGCATACATACAACATACACATATGCAAACACATACACATACGCATACACATCCACATACACCTTCATTCGTTTATTCGTTCATTTACGTACCCGAGTGCATGAACGAACACATGCAAAGAAACAACGCATACATGTGCACATACACATACACCTAGCTTCACACACGCACACAAACACATACACGCATACATATATGTGTGCACCACCGTGCATATACATGTGTACATATGCAAGCATACATAAACCGCTACATGCCTACATGCATACATACATACATACACGGCTACAATGTACCTCTGAGTTGTAGGACTCTGCAAACTCTGAATACAAGGACTCCTAAAGGATGCGAACCCTGTTTCAGGAAAGACCTGTCACGAAGGTTGATTGCAACAGGCAGCCCCAGTCGTGCTCATAGGCAACTGCGCCGGACAAACCTGAAGCTCAAGACCCTAAACCCTGAACGCAACAGATCCAAAGTTTAAAGAGGTCTCTTAGCGGCTCGCCTTGCCGGGGCATTGCGCCGAGAAGAGGGTGCCGAGGCATCCAGGCAGCGGCGGCGGGAGAATATGTTTGCTCCCCTGGGGGGTCCAAGGTCGTTCAGGGATGTTTAGGGTGCTTCCTGCCGAGGCGGCGGGGCGTGTGGGTGCAGTACTAGCCATATATTATATAAGATACATTGTTTTTTTCTTGGGTTGAAACATCCTCAGCTAAACCTCAACCGGCAAACCCCAAAACCGCAAAGCCCACATGTTTCTTAAGTTTGTTTTTCGATATCACGAAGTGCATGCATTTTAAAGCAAGCTTTTCTCAGGGCCTTCACCCCGGGAAAATGGTCATGCCAAAGTCGCCCGAACATGCCGAAGGCTTCCCAGAGGATTCTTGGACCTTTGGGCCGACGTGGATGCAGAGTTTGCGGCTTGGCAGCGTACAAAAAATAAGGGTCCACTGTGTGCCACTGAATAGTCCTCCATTTCGCGGCTTTCGGTTCGCGCCATGAGTCGTTGTGTTTTCATCCTTTTCCGGTCTAGGATTCCTGGCTTCGTTTAGGCTTGAACGGATTTTCTTGGTGCGTTGTAAGAGACGAAACCCAGTTTTTGAACAACCGCTATAGCCACTATGTGACAGTGACCCAGGTCCGTTCGAAGCTTTCGGCTTCCCTTTCGGAGGCGCTAGGGACCGGGGTTATGGAGCTTGTGCGTTCGAAGGTTCATGATTAGGTCGAGCTGCGTAAGTCGCGAGCCCAAAATCTTCTCGGATTGAACTTGACACTGCCTCGGGCAGGTGTTAATTGGAACCTTCTGGACCACGTAGGATTTGAGCTTACGGTGACTTCCATAAGAATCCTCCAAGCTCCATAAGTCCTCAAGAAAGAGCCTACAAACCCTATGCTCTGCACCGTGCACCCTACGTTCAGCCCTGCTCACAACTTCGTGTTGAAAATCTGAGTGTCACATGAACTCGAAGTAGGATTCTGGATTCTACGAATACCCGAAAGCCACAATACTGAAGCTTCACGAGAGCCCAACCCTATCCCCACCCAATAAAGCCTTATATAACTCAAATCAAAGTTCACACTAGGTTCCTATCTCCCATACCAGGTTCTAGAGGCCAGTAGGCAAGGCGTCGGTACCGTTGTGCTTCACGGTTGAGTATGGGGTGGTTTTGGGCCTGGGGTTTAGGGATTTAAGTATGGAGATTTTTCTTACTCGAATACTTGGCAAGAGCTCCTTCTAGAGCAAACCTCTCTAGAACAGTTGCATGGCCTCGGAAAGTGAAAGAGACGGGGGCTTGCCACGAACATCCTGGTACGACCCGAAGGTATGGATGCGTATCCTCGGCCGCAGCCCAACTAACCACATATTCAAAACCGTGTGGAAGCATCGGAAAGCCTCCGCAAGTCCGGCGATGCCTGGCGCGTGAAGTCGTGGCCCCGGGTGGAGAGCACAAGTTGGTGATGTGCATGATACCTGCGTGCAGGACAGTGCAGGATAGCTTCTTGACGGCTTTAGGGGTTCACACATAGGGCTCAACAGGTTGAGGACCGTCTTTTCCTTAGCCTCGTCGACTGTTTCAATTTTAACCCTGAGGGTTTATTCATTAACCTGGACTGCCCCGGTACGCAGGAACAGGTTGGTGATGACATGGCATGGCAGTCACAGAGTGTAGGGATGAAATTTTGGAGGGATACATGGAGGTAAAAAAGGCTTAGGAGGGCTCAAGGTTCAAAGCCCCTGGCTGCTATGGTTTGAGGCTCTGGTAGTTGGATGTCGTGACACAGCTGCCGGTGTCGAAGATTTTGCTTTCGAGACTCCCATGTCACTCCGATGCAGCAAACGTAGTAGAGCTGACAAACCGTGGCCTCATGTAGAATTCTGTTCCTGTGCTGGTGGTGGTGGTGGTGCTGGTGACTGGTGTTGGTGGCTTGTGCTGCTGCTGCTGCTGCTGCGGCTGCGGCTGCGGCTGCGGCTGCGGCTGCGGCTGCGGCTGCGGCTGCTGCGGCTGCCCACGGGTGCCGGCGCTGCTGCACCGAGTGTTTGCAGCCCGGGGTGGGGCCGGGGCTCTGGGTCTATGGGGCTGTGGCCCTGGGTCTGTCGCTTGCAACGGCGGCAGTGGTGGTCATCTTCGTTGCGGTCATCGTTGTCGTGGCGCTTGAAATGACAGCACTACTAACAGTAAGCGTGGTCGCGACGAGTCGCGACCTTGGTTCTAAGACGAGGAATAGGACAGACAACATGAATCACATCACTCGCAGTGGTCACCACAATCCTTCCAATATCAACCATAGCATCGATCTAGCAATAGCATTGAAGAAGACTGCAAGGCCCAAGCTCATCGCCAGGCCACTGCGTCAATCACGAGCTGACGGCGGAGAAGGTGGGCCTGCCTAAGGTCGCAAGCCACTCGAGGTGAAATCTTGGTTGTTGCTCTTTGCTCCGCCTAAGAGCTTTGGGATTGCTCACTTACCGACTTACACTTGTTCTGAAAGTCGTGAGACCCGGAGCCAGTTGTTTCAATGGCGAACCTTGTCTACGCCCCCTCCTCCTCCTTGGCCTCCTCCTCCTCATCGTTGGCCCTAGGCTAAGCCGTATCCCTAAACTTAAACCATCATCTTACACTCCAAGGCTTGGGGTTTAGGTTGACCTTCGTGGGTGGGGCTCACAGAACCTATGGACAGGTCCAAGGTTTCCAGAGCTGTAGCCGTGAGGTTTCCAAACTTCAGAGAAAGCCTCGCTCATTAAGACTCAGCCTGAGCGCCGAAGCCCTTCGAAAGCCGGCACATGCTCGCAACAAAAACCAGATCTAGTGATCAGCAATTCGGTCTTGGATTAGTTGGTGTTGCGTGTTCAAGACCATGCGGGGTATCAGCAGGTCGGACTACAGTGAGTGAGAGACTCACTGGTGAGAGTTCGATTTTGCCTGGTTTTCGCATTGTACAGTTCTTTTCAGGTTTCAGCGGCACTGCCTTAGCCTCTGCGGCGGTGTGAAGAGTTTGAGCCACTGCACATCGGCTTTACGCTGCTCATGCTTGTCACGTGAAGGACACCCAGAGGATTTGTATGTGTGCACGCATCTGTATACATACATATGTATATATATATATATATGTATACGTATGTATATATGTGTATATGTATGTAACTGGATGGATGGATGGATGGATGGACGGACGGACGGACGGACGGACGGATGCATATGACAAGAGTCTGCGGCACAGCCTCACAGCCTATATCCAAGCCGACAAGTAAGGTGAATCCGCACTGCCTCACTACGCGCAAACATGCGCACTGTCCAAAATTTGAACCCTTGCGTAGTAAGCCCTGAACCTTTTCAGGGAACCCATGTAGTCGAACTTTTATAGTAGCACACTCGAAGCTTGAGACCCATCTGCCTGCAGGCGCGGGCAGGGCCCGCGGCGATCAAGCAGAGGTCGCCATTCCTGTCCGGGGTTTTGGGATTTTACCCAAAGACTACGAAGCCCCGCGGTGGAGGAATATTCCTGAAACTATAGTTGGATCCTAAGAGCAGGAGCTGACCATAGGTACATGGCGGTTGACGTAAAGGTTCAGGGTTCAGGTCTATTACGGCATGAGGCTGCGACAATCTAGGCAGGCAAGTCTTAATCTGGAGCTACCATGTGTCGAACTGCTTGTAACAAGCAGCGACAAATGTCTCTAACAGACACGTAGCACAGGCACAACATGCGGGAGCACAGCAGGGGGCAGTTTAGCTCTGGATGCGGAGGTATCACTCCTAAGCAGGACACAAGCACCAACGAGGCTCGAGGGAAAGAAGCACAACAGCCCCAAAAACAACACTCTTGGGATTCTGCACTTGTTTTTTGAGCCGAGTACGGGCTTAAAGAATATGAGTTCGACTGGGCTACAGTGCGGTGTGGCATTCTGGTGTCTCGCGGTGTTCCAGCTTTGGGCAGCAAGGACAAGGCAGTGTTCGTTGAGTTTGTCACTTGTTGCTTTCACAGGCTAGGGTCTCGACCCGAACCTCACAAGCCTCAAGCCCCCCTGCCCTGAGCCCAAACCGAAACCCGCGAAGCTGTGCACCATGGGATCGTCCTAAGCCCCGAAGCCCTAAAGTCAAGCCCTACGGTTCAGGGTTTAGGAGTTGCAAGCAGCACGAATCCTGCGAGAGCCTACAGACGAAAACCACACCCCTGTGACACTCCACAAGCCCTAATCCCTCAAGACGCCAAGCTCTTCGAAAAAGCAGCGTAAAACTAGGTCTTTGCTTTGGCCACTCTTCTGGCCGACCTCTT